AATGTTCTGTCCATCTTCTAAGTATCTCTTGCTGTTCTGTCAATATATTACCCTCCTTATCTTTACACATCGTTGTTCTCGGTTTGAACTCTTTTCTGCTTTTGTTGAGTTTCTGGTAAAATTTTCTTGTCTCTGTTGGTTTACTTAGTTCTTGTAGTTCTTGAAGTTCTTTGTTGATATATTCTCTCTTCTTTCTTCGGTGAATTTTCTTTTCTTCTTTACGTAGTTGTTTATATTCTTCCTCTGCTTGTCGGGTTCTGTGCCTCTGTTGCATCTGTAGATATGCTCTGTTTTTTCTTTCTGTTATAGTTTGACATTCTTCGTCAAACCAGTGATTCGTTCTTGTTCTTCTTTCTTTGGAGCTATAAACGACCAAAATTGACACAAAAGATATAATTTTAGAATTATGTCAACTCTTTAATAAACCAGATGTGGTAAGGTTAATTAAAATACAGCGACTAAGATGGGTTGGATACATAACACGGATTCCAGACAATACAATTGCCAAAAAGCTAAGGATAGCGGCATAGCTAGAAAGACGCAGCAGAGGCCGATCTCAAATTTGTGTCTCCACTCCACATGGAGCTAAATAGGACGAGTGAGGATACTAGAAATCAGAAGATGGCAATACGTCGCCAGAAAACGAACAGAATCACAACGAATCATAGAGCAGGCCAGGATCCACAGAGGATTGTCGAGTTAAAGATGATGATGATAATGATAATAATATCAAATGATACGTAGTCTTACTTCCAGAAGAAGTGATTACTGGTCTACCAATCTCAATTCGCCTGTTGGTGGTTAGAGCTGGCTCACTGTAAAGGACCGCATACTACCTATTAAAATGTACGGAGAGGTATCAAAATATTGTGAACCAATATTATTTTGGTTTTGTGCTTTTAATTTGCACCTCGTACAATTAGTACTTATATAATGTTATATTTATGAGTGATCCTCTCCAATTTTTTTCCAGAGTTTAATTTTTAATTAATCCGTATTTGTCGAGAAATTCTTTTCTAACGTTTAGGACTGCCGCGACTCTTTTTAAATTCATTATTATCATCCAGACCTGTGCGTCTACTGCTGGACATAGGCCTTCCTTATTTTTGTCCAGTGTGCTCTATCTTGAGCACTTTTCATCCAATTTATTGAGATTTTCTTGAGATCTAATTGAGATCGTCAGTTCAAGGGGTCTTTTGCTACTTCTTTTGTCTAATCTGGGCCTACACTCAAGCAGCAATCTCTTTGTCCACCTTTTATCACTGATTGGGGCGACGTGTCTGTCCCAGTTTCACTTCAGTGTTGTAATTTGCGAAATTACATCGGTAACTCCTGTTCTTCGTCGTAAGTCTTCATTTCTAACCCGGTCACGAAGCGATATACTCAGCATTGACCTTTTCATTTTCCTCTGAGCTATTTGCAGCGTTTTAGACATTGTAGGTGTCAATGTCAAAGTTTCGGCACCATAGATCATTAAAGGCAACAAACTTTGGTCAAATGTTTTACCTTTTAAAGAAATTGATATGTTGCTTTTAAAGATGTCTTTGAGTTTTCCATAGGCTGTCCATGCTAGGTTTATTCTTCTTTATAGTTCGCATGTTTGGTTGTCTCTTGTGATCTTTATTTCGTGTCCAAACTATATGTATTTTTCCACTAGCTCTACTTCGTTGTATCCAATATTGATATTTTCGCTAGGTACTAGGTTTGTCATGAATTTAGTTTTGGAGATGTTTATTTTAAGACCCACACTGGCACACACTAACTGAAGTTTATGTAGCATTGTACATATCTCCTTGAGGTTGTCCGAAAACAAAACTATGTCGTCTGTGAATTTTAAATTTGGTAATCTTCTACCGTTAATTTTCAGACCTTTCTCTTCCCAGTTAAGTTCTTCACAAATATATTCTAGTACTGCGGTAAGCAGTTTAGGCGATAAGGTATCACCCTGTCGGACTCTTCCGCCGATTCGGATATGATTTTATGTAGTTTCACCGACATAGTTGCGTGTGTATTGTAAATTAACCTTGTATATCGTAGTCAATGAGGAATGCTTGTAGTGCTTCCAGGATTTTGTCAAATTCTACTGTATAAAAGGATTTATGGAAATCTACAAAAGCCAGAACGAGTGGTCGATTGTATTGGATAGTCTTCTCTATTACCGTTTGAATGTTCTGTAGGTGATCATTTGTTCCAAATCCTGTACGAAATCTGGCTTGCTCTATTGTCTCGTAGAAATCAAGTTTTTTCACAAGATGATCCGTTACTATTCTTGTGAAAAGTTTGTATAGGTAAGGTTGTTACGATATGAATTGGGAATCGGTCGGCTCGGTCATAATATTCACCCTTAATCTACTTTTTTTTAACAATTAAAAGTAAAAATATTTCTTTTAGAACCAACACCAATGAATTGGGAATTTGTAAATAAGGACTTACATATTTAAGCGCAAAGGATTATTCTAAATATCGGAAAATAATATTGTGTTAAGGATATGTGAACTTACCAAACTTGCGCGTACGACAGTTTTACGTGTTATTGCAGCTGGGGATGTATGTGATCATTCTGTTAAACGTCGAAGAGTTGGACAAAACCTTAAAAATATTGATAAGGCCACTAAAGACGTTATTTGTCGCTATGTGTACGAATTTTATCAGGAACAAAATTTCAACGTTGGAAATGTTTCAGGACATGTTGAAAATATATCCCGATTATGCATATAAATCCCTTGATACATTGAGTCGTGTTTTAATAGAATGCGGATTTAGTTATAAAAAATTAGACAAGAGAATGGAAATTATGGAATCTACAAGGATTGCGATACAGAGGCAACATTATTTGCGTAAAATAATGGAATATCGAGATGACAATAGAGACATTGTGTATCTAGATGAAACCTGGTTTGACACCCATGATGTAGTTCAATATGGCTGGATAGATGAAAGCAAAAAGTGCTGCTTGAATACTCTGTTCGAGAGGAAAAAGAATTATAATTCTACATGCTGGAACTAAGAGCGGGTTTGTACCTAATGCCTTGTTATTATCGGCCAAAAACATTAAACAGGCATCAGCTGATTATTATGAGGATATGACGGCTGAACTTTTCGAAAAATGGGCAACGGAACAGCTGTTACCGAATATTAAAACAAATTCCGTGATAGTAATGGACAATGCGTCATACCATTCTAGACTCTACACCAAAATTCCAAATACTAGCTCCAAGAAGGGAGATATCATAGAATTTATGGAGAACAAAAGGCATGGCAACACTTAGTAAATGTACCAAAAAGGAATTGTTGCAATTAATTAAGCAACAAAATTTTCAAAAAGAATATGTAATAGATAAACTCTTTGAACGCCACGGGCATACGGTTTTACGGCTCCCTCCATATCATTGTGTTTTAACCCAATTGAAATGATATGGGCCGATGTAAAAAAGAAATTGCGGAAAATGAATCAATCTCCCCAATTAAGTGACGTTGTTGTCCAAAATATAAAAACAGTGATCGAAGAACTTAACAAAACTGACATTTGGAAAAATTGTGTAGGGCATGTTCAAGTAAAAGAAAAAGAATATCCTACTATACCACCAATTGAACCGGTAGTTATAAACACAAACGACGACTCAAGTTCTGGACACACGGATAGTGATAGTGTTTAATTGTTTGAATATTTCTACAAAGACTTCCACAACTTGTCAAAAATATGTTCTGTGTATCGAAGTAAATGTGATCTCTCCATTAATCTATAATCTAAGAGACAATTCGACTGGAAGACGAATTGGCCGATTTCATGTAAGTATCTTTCAAAAATAAGCTTTCACACTCAAGTGGGACACTTTGATGATTAGCGACAAGATCTGTGTCTAGCCGTGGACAAAAAAAGACCTATATGAAGCATTGGAGGAAACAATCGTAGACCTATGTAGAGCACTGGAGGAAAGAATCGTAGACCTATGTAGAGTACTATGCGAAAAAATCTGTGTCGAGCACTAGACGAAAGAACGAAAGCTTATATGTAGCAGTGTATAAAATATTGGGTTTCCCTGTCAAGCAGTGGACGTTCAATTAGTGAATAGAAGAAGGTAACATGAGATGAAAAACAGATTAGCTAAAGAAAAGAAGAAGACGAAAGAAAGGAAAAGAAAAAATGATTCGACTTGTCTGTAAGCGTGATGTCACCCGAACACCTGAGCAGGTGCAAACATCAAAGGATGCCGCTTTTTCCCACGGTCGGTAAAATTTTCCCAGCGCCAAGTGCCGCAACATCTACTGGGTGTTCTTGTTGAAACATGAATATATTCACTCGCAAATAACTCGAAAAGTATTGATTTAGTAAAAACCTCTATAAAACAAAAGTTGCCTAGAATTAGTCAGTTTATCCACTTCCGGACTTATTTTGGATGTCTATCTTTTCACCCCCGAGAAGGTGCGGTACCCACCCCCAGGGCAAAAATACACATCGGCACAATATCACTTTTTTTCTTTGACACGTTAGCTATATGTGTATGCCAAATTTCATGTTAATCCCACTGGTTCTTTAAAATTTAGAGATTTTTACAATATTTTACTGTTAGTGAATGGACTATGTGTATTAACTTTTAATCATCTTTGGTGTCAAGTTCATAAAGAAATGTGAATAATTAACAATATTATTACTGTTTAACAAAATATTAGACCTTAATTTAAAAATAAAATTTTATTATTTAATTTCTATTGCGCCGCCTATGTTTTACAAAAGACGCCGACACTTGAGTGTCGAATTTTGTTTTTATACTTGTCCAACTGACATCGTAGAAACTATAACTAAGAAGACTTATAGGTCTGTATTTTTATAATTTATGGAGACCTCCTTTTTTGTTCAATAAAATACCTTTGCATTGTGCCATTTGTCGGGTATATTACTGTCCAAAAGGCACATATTAGAAAGGTTTTAAATTGCCATAAATACCTAATATAAAAAACAGATTTTACGAGCAATATTAATATTTTATTTTTCTTTTTAGTTGGTTACCCGGATTTCTCTCTAAAGGATTGAAGAAAGATTTAGACGAAAATGATATGTACCAAACTCGACATTCCCAACAATCCAGATATTTAGCAGATCAATTAGTAGTAGCATGGAAAAATGAACTTAAAAAATCAAAGCCATCTTTTTTATGGGCCCTTCTTGTAGTATTTAGGCTAGAACTATTTTATTATGCCTTTTTTAATATTTTTTCAGATATTATAAAGTAAGTTTTGCTTATTAGGTATAAAACAGTATTATTACTTTTATTTATTAGTCTTGAAAATCCAATTAATTAAAAATACATGTTCTTTTTATAGAATTGCACAACCAATGTTGATCTCCAGATTAGTGTCATATTTCCAACCTGGTGCCACTACAAACAAAACAGAAATTTACATCAACGCATTTTTAATAGTCATAGCAAGTCTTATCCAAGTCACGTCCGTCCACAACTACCAGATGTTAGTCATGTCCTTGGGGATGAAAGTTCGAGTTGCGTCATGTGCGTTGATCTATAGAAAAGCTTTAAAATTAAGTAAAACAGCATTAGCGGAAACGACAATTGGACAAATGGTAAATTTGTTATCTAATGACGTGGGAAGGTTTGACTTTTCAGCTCAACACATCCACAACGTATGGTTAGCACCTTGTGAAACGATTATTGTTATGATTTTGCTATATTTTTATGTTGGACCAACCGGATTGATTGGATGCGTTTTTCTACTAAGCTTTATACCGTTTCAAAGTAAGTTTAATACTTATTTTTTGTTTTAGATCGTAAATAATAGATGATAAACTCGTAATGTATTTATTGTTTAAAAAAAATTAAAAGAAAGTCATTTGAGATCAAATAATTGCTGGATGGTGAATTAAGCAAAAGTTCAATGTTTTGAGTGCTTAAAAAGTTAATAATATAACATCATGAATGTGTTGCTTGTGTGAGTCCATTTCAAATAGGTAAAGAAATAATAAATAAGACTTACTCACCATCAATTTAATTTAACTATTCAGACGACCGGTTTCGCTTTCTACAATATACAAAGCATCTTCAGGTCTCGATACAAAGTTAAATAAATGAGTACCGGCATCATTGACCTGACCTTTATGTAGGTAAAAAATCAGATATCTGTTTTGAGCTGTCATAATAAATTAATAGTTAGTTTTTAATTGACCTACGGATAAAAGTAATACTTCTGAGTTGTCGAAACGAGTTAAACTTTTTGCGCTGGACGGGTGATTAAGAACGATAAACAATAATAATTATCAACAAAACAATAGGTCTGTTATTCAGGTTTCGATAAAACTAAACAGAAGTATAAAGGCTGAACTTATTTGTGTTAGGATCGACAATCGCTAAAATTTAGCTGTTAAGGTAGGTGCGGAGCTTGTCGCGATTCGTAACCATTACAAATATTTTATAAATACGTTACTTATTTGAATTAGAAGAAAGATGGCGGATGGATGAAGATAGTAAAAGAAAAAGTAAAGAGGAGCTAGACATATTTAGCAGGAGCAGAAAAGTGAACCGAACACCAGACAGGTCGAATCCATCAACGAATGAAGCCAGCAGCAATAACGAAATGATGGAACTAATGAGACAACTAGTAAGCGACAATAAAAATAAAAACAATAGAAACAAAGAAAATAGTAAATACAAATTGCAAATGAAAGAAATAATAAGAGAAAATGAAAATCTAAAGCAAGAAATGGCTACGATGAAACAAAAGATAGATAAAATAGAAATAACCTTGGAAGCATGTCAGAAAGAAAAGAAGAAAAATAACCTAATAATGTGAGGCTTACCAATAGACACAATAGACGCAGAGCAACTTTATAGAAACAAGTAGAGTAAGTAGAGAACTTTATAGAAACAAAAATAGGAGTAAAATCAGAAATAAATAGGGTACAAAAAATAAATGAAACAATGTGTGTTATAGAATGTAAAAAATTCGAAGATAAAATGAAAATACTGAAAGCCAAGGGAATACTAATGAACTATAAGCAACATAAAGTATATATAGAAAGTGATCTAACATTAAAAGAGTTAGAAATACAAAGAAACCTTAGGAAGATAGCAGCAGATGAAAAGACTAATGGAAAAGGACAAAATTGGATATGGTTTCATAGTTATTGAAGGCATTAAGTGGAAATGGAATCAAAAAACAAGTCGGATAGAAAAAGTAACATACAATACTGAACCAACTTGTTCAAAAAACTAGCTGAAGAAAACACAATGACGGACCGAGAAACAAAACAGTCACAGAACAGGGACATGAGCAGACTTAAAGATAACAACACAATAGGAAAGAAAACCAAATTGAAGTATAACTTAAAAACAGAAAAGAACAAAACAACTTTGAAAATGGCATCATGGAATGTAAGAGGTATAAATGGGAAGGAAATAGAACTGGGGAAAGAAATTAGAGATAACAACATTGAAATAGTAGCTACAACCGAGACAAAGAAAAAAGGAAGAGGATCAACATTATTAGAAAACGGAATGTTACTAATATACAGTGGAGTGAAAGAAACGAAGAGAGCTCAGGCAGGGGTAGCGTGCATGATAAAGGACAGTATCAAAAAGTAAAAAATTGGATATATTACAACGAACGTATACTAAGAGTAGACATTGATATGGATACAGAGGAAACCAATACAAACCTAATAATATGCTATGGACCAGATAAAGACGCAACAAAAAACGAAAAGAATGAGTTCTGGGACAAATTACAAGAAGTGATAAATGATTGTACGGAGAAAATTGTGATCACAGGAGACATGAACAGTAGAGTGGAAAAAGAAGCAGAAAAATGGAACAATGTAATCGGACCTTATGGGGAGGCAAAAATAAACAAAAATGGAAAATTACTACTCGAATTCTACCTAGACAATAACCTGGTGATTATGAACACACACTTCCAACATAAAAAGATACACAAGATAACAAGAGAAGTCAAATCAAGAGATGAACAATCAATTATAGACTATACTATAGTGCAAAAAACAGAGAAGAACTGGATAAGAGACGTAAGGGTGAAAAGGAGTTATGAAATTTGTAGTGACCACTATCTACTCGAAACCACATTCAAATGCAAAAGAAAAGAAATAAAAAGAAATGAGAACATAAACAAAAAACACAAAGAAATAATAAAAATTTATAAAGTAAGGGAAGAAACAACGAAGATAAGATACTCAGAAGGGCTAGAGAAACTGATGGACAATGAACATGAAATAACAGAAACAATAGAAGAAGAATGGAGAAAATTTAAAAATGCGATGATAAAAACAGTTATATTTAGAAACTTGGACTCTGAAAGCCCAATCTATAAAAAAATTGGAGCCATTCGAAATGTGGCTATATAGGCGTATTTTGAAGATTCCTTGGACTGCAAAAGTCTCAAATGACGAAGTGTTAAGACGAGTTGTACATGGCAAAAAGCTTATGAACACAATTAAAATAAGAAAAACATGGTATCTGGGCCACATACTCCGAAACGATAAATACTCTCTGCTACAAGTCATCATGCAAGGTAGAGTAGAGGGAAGAAAAGCCTTGAGAAGAAAGAAGAAATCTTGGCTGAGGAATATTAGAGATTGGACTGACCTTGACGTTGAACAGATATTTCACGTTGCAAAAGATCGAGAAGCGTTTAAAGAAGTGATCACCAACCTTCGTTAGACGGCACAACAAGAAGAAGACTATCAAAAAATGGAAGCACCGAGCAAGAGATAACCAGCAGATTAGCACATACAAGAACATGTATTAAGCAAATGAACGGGGTACTGTGGGATAGAGAGATTACCAGAAATACAAAGAAGAAATTTTATAACACCTTGGTATGCAGTATAATGACCTATGGAGCAGAGAATTGGGTAATAAATAAACGAAACAGGTCCAAAACACAGCAACTGAAATAGAGTTCACGAGAAGAAGCTGCAGAGTGACAAAAATAGATCGCATCAGAAATGAGGAGATAAAACAAAGAATGGCAGCTACATCGAAGAAGAACGTATAATTTGGTATGGACATGTGAGAAGAACAGATCATACAAGGTGGATAGCAAATATTTCGGATTGGAGCCCAATAGGAAGGAGAAAAAGAGGTAGACCCCGAAGATCATGGAGGGATGGAGTGGACGAGGCCATGAAAAGACGAGACCTTAGAGATGGAGAATGGCAGAACAGAAAGGACTGGGGACGTTGGCTGAAAGAAGGAAGGCGGCGACAGCTGTAAAAATCCTTATATAGATGGATAGAAAGAAAGACTCTCAGATCAATTCTTGAACTAAAAAAGATCCAGTACGGTATAAATAAGTAGATAAATACAGAATACGTAGTCACATACATAAAGGATCAAATAAAGGTTGTCTCACACGTAAAGGTTGAAATGGCTCGGGCGTATATGAAGAAGAAGAAAACACAATACACAAACTCTTAAAGTGGAAACATATAAATACCAGATCTAGAAGGAGACCAAAGTGCAGATGATCAGATCAGAGAAGAAAAAACTGGAGAAGACTAATAGAAAGGAATGGAGCTTAATCACCAATCAAGTGAAATTACACAACCTGTTAAGAAGAACAGCAGATAACAAAAAACAAATAAAAGGCGGAGTGACCTTCCGCAAAAAACGGATTCAGAAGAGCTCATATTAATGGGCAACTTATACTCGTGCAAAGAAATGACAAGCCCATATATACATATCTATATTTATATCTATATATATATATATATATATATATATATATATATATATATATATATATATAATATATATATAATATATATATATATATATATATATATATATATATATATATATATATATATATATATATATATATATATATATATATATATATATATATATATATATATATATATTGTTATGATATGTAAAAACGAGAAAAATATTGGTTTGTTTAAAATATTTCAAAATTCAAAAACATTAAAATAATTCAGATAATTAGGATAATACCCAACAAACATTTCGAAGAAGGAAAATATTTAAATTTTGGATTACCTGTATTAAACAAAATGTAAGCTAAGCATAAAATTATTTCCTTTGTTATACTATACTTGAGTGACCCGCATAATTTTAAGTGAAATCCCAAAGACAATTGAACCGGGTTTTTCCAAATACATTAACGCAGCGATTAAAGACAATAGAAGAGGTTTTAGAAAGAGGTTTTTGTTAGTTTTTAAGAATTATAGAAAAATATTTGTAAATAAGTTTTGGGAAATTTTATAATTATAGGTAAAAATTTGTTTGTTATCTGAATGAAAGAATGGGGAATTGTGACGAGTTTTGATTGGCGGAGATTAAAAAAGGTGGGAGGTATGTAGGAATGAAAGTTTAGCTAGATTTCGGAGTGGAAAAAGTTAGTTGGTTTCCAAGGGTGCCAGGCGAACGGCCGTTGTTCTCGGGTAGTTTTCCCAGAGGTAGGAAGCGGTAGCAGTGAAAGTTTGTGAGTTTTCGTGTAGTTAGTGTATCTGACAGAAGCTGATCCAGTAAAATATTGTAAGTCATATTTTTCTACTTATATTCCAAGAGTCACTGTTCAGGCCAACGAGAGATTCAGTTTATCGTAAAGAAAAGATATTCCAAGAGTCATTTTTCACTCAGGCCAACGAGAGATTCAGTTTATTGAGAGAAGAAGAAGCTAGCATAATTTGAACGATTCATGCATTTGAAGGAGATCATTAAGGACGAGATACTTGCAATAATTTATTGTAAGATTGCTGATTACTTAGGGAGCGGCCACGAGTAAATAGTATAGTCTACAAATAACAAGGATTTGGACCACTCATCATCAGAGAGAGATAGTTTTGTTTTCTGCAGTTTTTCTTTCATTGATAACACAATTTTTTACACTTAATTTAGAAAGGATATAAATATTTTGATTAGGAGATTTAGAGTAATACTTGGATTTTGAGATTTCAACTAATATTGTTTGTACCATTAATTTTGATTGTTCACGTACGTAGAACAAAATTTTGAGAATTATTATATGAGATTTTGTTTATTGAAAACTTTTGAGTGTGAATTATTTCATTATTTTTATTTCAATATATAGTGTTAGATCATATGTGTTTTTTATTATTCCGGTATTCTTTGGACCTTACCTTTCACATGTAATAGCATAGATATTGAAGCACGAATTTAACCCTGAGATAAAAGAATTAAAAATTGTGATAGAGTCATAATCATATCATTTAAATAATTTTAATTAATCAAAAAATTAATTAGCTAATTATTGCTTGGCGCACCAAGACTTGAAATATCACAATAATATATATATATATATATATATATATATATATATATATATATATATATATATATATATCATTTATTTTTCTCATTTGTTGTGTTTTTTTTTAAATGATCTTGCTTATCTTTTTTAGTGTATATGGCCAAATTAACCTCACAATATAGGCTTAAAACCGCCATCCGAACAGATGAGAGAGTAAGACTGATGAATGAAATTATTAACGGAATACAAGTGATAAAAATGTACACGTGGGAAAAACCATTCGCAAAATTAGTGGAAATGGTTAGAAAGTAAGTACATAGATATAGCATAGAACAGCATTTTTTAAAACTTGAGACTTTTAGAACTTAAGTCATGAATTTTATTTATTTTTTAAATCCATACGGTCCTTAATTTATGTAAATTTTTTTGAATATTATTTGCTTACAAAATGTTTATGTTGCGCAGTTTTCTCACTTATACAAATGTAGATTTTCTTTATACGTATACGCCTCGTACGCCCACATCTTGCATGTAGTGCACTGTACCCAATCTTCATTTGAAGTTTCTCCTCAGATGAGATACTCAGTAGTTTCTTCTTCCTTAGTGTTCATTTCTAAACTTCCACTACTTGGTATCGTTGTCGGGAAAAGCTGTCTATTCACATCAAGACCCTTCTTCTTTTTTTTTCTGTTGCTGGTTTGATCTTCTCTTGTGATTCCTTAAACCTTTTCTCCAACATAGTTTTATAAGGATATCCAATCAAAAGCTCGATCTTTTCACTTTATCGTTTTCCAAATATTCTCAGGAAGGTTTGAAGCTCTAAAGTCCATCGCAGGATTTAGAAGTGTTGGCTATAGCTAAAGGTAGATCTGTCACAGTAGAGCTACTTGATGCCGAAGAGGCGGAATAACTGCAACTGTGAAATATGACTTTAGTGGTTTTCAGAGGAGCTAGATAAAGCTGCATCAAACGTGTCTGTTACAGCCAATGGTGGTTTAGATGCACGCGTTGCTATGCAGATGACTGTGTCACTATGTGCTTCATTGTCTTCAGAAAAGTGAGCTGCAGCAAGATAGTCCAGATCTGTAAAAATTGTCTTTTGCACTGGATATAAACGAGTACAGGCAAGCCCAGACTTTTAAAAGTTCCATCCTACAAATAGCTTGGAAAGCTTTTTATACCAATCCAGCAATGTCTCTTTGGAATATTTTAAGCAGGTGACATTGGGTCATCCACTTTGCATAAGCCATATTGTAGCCACTATTGAAGGGTCTCATTATTGCTCGGTAAGAGGTTGAAGTTTATGGGTGGTGTAAGGGGATATATTTATCATGTGAACATTGTGGTCTCTTGCATATATATACTTGTAGTTCCTTGTGAAAACTGTGGCCATCAAATATCAAAAGAGCTGAACTTTCCTTGGTAGGATTCTTATGAGCAACAAACATTTTTAGCCAAAGCAAAAAGGAATTGGCAGTGATTCACCCATGTTGTTCAAAAGCAAAATTACTCCCTTCCGGAACATACTTCTTAAACTCTTATGTCATTTTAACCCTACCTAATACAAATAATGGAGTTAAAAATACATGACTTGTCGCGTTGATAGATAGTAGCACAGCTATATTTCTGTCTCTTTTCCGACGTGATTTTACTAACCTGGTTTTTTCTTTCTTTGAAAGAACAATTGAGGTATTATCATCCATCACAGAAACTGCCGTTTCGCCATCGCAGGTAAACACCTTTGAGAGAGTAAAGTGAAATTTTGATAGCAATGCTTCATATTTAATAAAGAAGAGGTCCACTAGTGGTTTTTTGAAACCAACAGCTTTTTGAATACTTGTTGTCTGTGGTTTTCGCAACGAAAGTTCAGGATGGCATAACCCTAGAGATGACAAAACTTATACAAATACTAATATTGCACTGCAAGGTACCAGACGCATGGAAAAACAGCATAATGATACCAATGTTCAAGAAAGAAGATAAAGAAGACTCCAACAATTATAGAGGTATAAATCTACTGACAAACAGTACACAAAACACAAAACAACCTAACCAACAAAATCAATAAACTAACAACTTTATTAGATGAACAACAAGGATTCAGATCCGAGAGATCCTGCATAGACGCTGAATTTGTACTAAGGCAAATCACAGAAAAGGTCATCGAGTACAATAAACCCGCATATCTATGTTTTATAGACCTGACAAAGTTTTTCGTTCGCGTCCAAATCGAAGATGTCTTACACCTACTGTATAAAAGAAATATACCAATCAATATTATACAAACCACCGAAAACATCTACTCCCAAAATCGAATACAGGCAAAAATAAATGGAAAACTAATATAGTGTATACTAGTACAAAGCGGAGTCAGACAGGGTGACCCGTGAAGTCCACTTCTCTTTAATATAATAATGGACAAAATAATACAAGCAGTACGTAAAGGTCATGGCTACATAATGGGGAACAATAAAATCCAAATATTATGTTATGTAGACGACGCCGCATTAATCGCCGAGACAATTACGAGCTCAAAACATTAGCACACATCTCCAATACAACAGCCAAGAAATACAATATGATAATATCAGCAGAAAAAACCAAATATATAACAACGTTTAAATACCCACTACGAGGTACAATCGAACATGATGGGACAATAATTAAGCAGGAAGCAAGGTTTAGATATCTGGAAATAGATATAACTAATTACGAAGTTGTTGAAGAAGATGTACGACAACAAAGCTTAAATGCAAGTAAAGTGTTGCTTATCTGGCTATAATCTGGAAGACCAAACACCTAAGACAAGACACAAAAACAAGAATCTATAAAGCAGCAATTAGACCCATATTAACATACACGGCGGAGACAAGACCTGGCACATCTAAAACGAGACGACTACTAGTAACAACAGACATGGAAATACTCCAAAAAATATCAGGAAAAATCTGTTGGATAGGGAGAAAAGCGAAAACATAAAAAGAGCATGCAATATAGAAGACATAAATGGATGGGTGACAAAATGGAAACAGGAGTGGAACGTAAACATTAATAGAATGGCGGAGGATAAGATAGTACAAATAACACGTGTAGTGAAATAAGTCATCAAATGGACGAAGAAGTATTGACAGACCAAGAAAAAGATGGTGCGACAATTTAAACAATTTAGTAGGCTAATATTAAAGAAGAAATATGGTATAAAGCTTACATAATAGAAGGCATCTAGGCATCATCTTGTTGACTAAATCAATTAAATGCCCGACTAATTTGGTTTCTAGCTCTTAAAAAAATATTGCTTGTAACATGACCCATAAGTGGCTTTATATCTACGTCCACACTTCCTCTTATCTGTTTGATTCTGTCTGCTAGCGTCTTATTTGGGAGAGAAAAATGTAAAGAAGTTTGTCTAATAGTCAGTTTGTTTTTAATACTTGCTTGATTGCCATTTTTATCCAGTATTCTAACCAAAAACACTTTTTTTTCTCTCTTTTGGCATTGTATTCAATGTACCTGAAGAAGAACAGGATTAGTAAGATCCACAAGGAATCTACGTTCCTGTAGTTGGCTGTATACCATGTATTAAAAATTTAATTAAAAATCCTTTGTAAAAGGTATATTTTAGGCCCAAACGGGCTAAGTTAAAAAGACAAAACGTTTTCGGAAACCATGTTCCATCATCAGTGTCTAGGGGTACATGAATGAAGCCACCAAGATTAAATATGTGGGTAAAAACCCGATTACATATGTTTAATTACATTATTTCAACATCAATTTAAAACTAAATGTAATTAAACATATGTAATCGGGTTTTTACCCACATATTTAATCTTGGTGGCTTCATTCATGTACCCCTAGACACTGATGATGGAACATGGTTTCCGAAAACGTTTTGTCTTTTTAACTTAGCCCGTTTGGGCCTAAAATATACCTTTTACAAAGGATTTTTAATTAAAGGATTAGTAAGCTTACTTACTCCTCTCCATCTTGCGTGGCTCTAAAGAGTGCATAGGCATCGAGGTTTGTCAAATCCCTTATGTTTGTAAGCCATAAGTATTTCTTTCTTCCGATGCCCCGTTTTCCTTCTATCTTCCCTTCCATAATAAGCTTTAAAAACTAATACTTGGAATTTCAAAATATATGACCCAGATAAGCAGTTTTTCTTATTTTTATTATTGGCAACAATTCTCGTTCTCTGCCCATTCGATTTAATACTTTGACATTTGCTGTGTGATCTGTGCTGGGAATTTTCAGTAGTCGTCTAAATACCCACATTTTACATATAAATTTATTCGGGTTCTGATAACAATGAGATGTGTTCTTCCAAAATCTCTTTGCGATGGTAACGATTCCATATTTTCTCATTTATTAGGGTCTTATCCTTTCGTCCATCAAAGTAAATGCTATTAGCAAAAATACCTGTAACACCTTTTAAAGCATCTCTTCGGGCTTTACATACAGCTATGTGGATTTTGTTTTTATCAATAACCAGTGTCAGATCTTCGCTAGAAACCAAACCTACGTCAACCAAAACAACAGAAGCAACAGCATCAGACTTTAGCAACTGTTGGCAACCGCAACGTATTTCTATTAAACGTGGAAGTAGACGGTGTCTCTGTTGAAAAAGAGTCAGGCACTGCTTCATCAAAATTTGCTGATATAGAATCGGTCGTTTGAGTAGCACACAACTATTTAGTTGCCCTCATTAATTCTTCTATCTTTCTCTGCTGTCGTTTCATGAATTTGGCAGTTTCTTTCTTATCAACACCGCCTATAACCATTTTCCTGCCATTTCTTTAATTCAACAGAAAGTCTCTATCATTGATGGGAACTTTTTTATGTTTTAACATAACAGGATTCAATCGAAATACATTTATAAGCAGCAACGTCAAAATGCTTTTCAGTTGACTCTACAAAATACTTCACTTTGTTTTCAAAACTGTTATTTCATTTGCTTTTGGAGTGTGTTTTCAAACGGAGGTAGTTTTCGAAATAAAATTTTAGTAACTGAATAATCTGTTCCTTGGTTACGCATTGAATCGAAGCTTTTGCCAAATATTAATAACTTCTTCAGAAACAATGGCATATATATCTGAATTGGATGGATCCTTTCCATTATACTTTAATTTATATCGTTATTCACAAATAAAATACATGTCATAACATCTCTATAGTTGGTAGCTGTCGTTCGTCAAGTTGTTTGTAAGGTCCCATTATAGAAAAAGTAGTCTCACTACTCCTAGAACGCATGATTTAAAACTCACAAAATTAGCTTTTGACACTAGAACAAACGCAACTGTTGCAAATGCAAATGTTGAACGTCGAACGACGTGTCGACCACCCCGAGCCACCTTCTTCTACTCGTCTTTCTCCTGTCATCAAAGCAGATCTGACATAACCAAAGTTCACAGAATTCTCTCAACTTTAATGGAACCTTTAATACGACGCAGTAATATATAATATACGTCCATGTTCTCCAATATGACGATTATAGTATTGTTTACAAATGCCCCAGACCAACTCAATCGGATTACATTGACAGTGATATGGAGGCAATCTCAAAACCTGATGCCCATGTTCTTGGAGTAGCTTGTCTATAACGTACCTGGTATTTTGTAGTTTATTCTGGCGACAAAGACTTAATAGCTCTGTCTTGCCCGAATCGTCGTCAAAAATTATTTTTTTCGCTCGTAACCATTCTTGTAAGTCCGCTTTTTTCCATCTGGCATTTGGTAACTTTTCTATTAAAGAGCTGTGGTATGAGGCATTATCCATAATAATTAGAGATGGTTCCTCCAATATTGGTATCAGCTTTTCGGAGACCCACTTTTTAAAAGACTCTTTATCCATAGAATCATGATAGTCTGCACTCTTCGATTTCGTAGAAAACAGTAATCCAACATCTTTAACAAATCCTTGCCTACTTCCGGCATGTAAAACAACAAAGTATTTACCTGTATTTTTGTGTCCTTTTCTGATGCTTTTCACAGAGTCATCTTGCCAAGTACGTTCATATGCCCCTTTTAGGAATATCCATGTTTCATCTAAAAAAACGAACTGAAGTGGGCTTGGACTTAAAAAATTTCTCATATAATGCCCCAAAAAATACAGTTGTTTGGCGACAATACATGGTTTCTCACATAGCACTCGTCTACTATTTTCTAGTTTGTATGAAAACCCACAATTTTTCATAAGACGCCACAAACTTGTATCAGAACCGTCATAGAAATGCTTGTTTCTTAATTGTGTATTTAGAAATTTAATTGTAACGTGCTCTCCTTTTGCTTTCATGCCATACAGTACATCCTAATCTCTCCTTTTATAGTATCGCTGACATCATTAGTCTTTTTTTTTGTACATTACGTGACTCTCCTGGTGCAGTTAGAGCTGCCCCTGTCTTGTATTCACTCTTTATTCTTGTCACTGTGCGAAGACTGATTTTCAAAGCGTCCGCTACTCGTTCATGTACCGATGATAACGAAAGCAAAGGTCCGTTGTTTTCTTTTTCTTTTTTAAAATACTCCAATAAATTAACTACACATTGTCGCATTTCTCCTGTTATCGTTTTCCCGGCATTTTTTTTATTAAATAGAACAATTAGTTATTCACAACAAAAAATAATAAGTAAAACTGTTCAGTGGTCTTGTCATTCCCTTCTCATCGCACTTTACCATGACGAACGAGACTCGCATAATTGAATTACGCATCTGTGTATCAGAGAGAGACGAATATTAAAAATTCCGTAGTAGCTTATTTCAGGCACACGCCAAGAACGATGAAACCGAGTTTTAGTACAGTACAATCTCAATTTATTTTAGTTCAGGAGCCGAAAAAATATTATCACAAAAATGACAATTTTTCCAAAATTTGAGGATCGGTAGAACCCTTAAGATATATTTTTATTTTATTTTTAAAAATATTGTGATAATCTATTGGCAATTACATAAATTTTAAGGGGTCTTGCATTAAATATTGTTTTATATATTGTTTTATATATGTTTGTTCAGAATGCAAAATTGAGTATAATGAAATATTACTATAAAAATGACAATTTTTCAAAACTTTAAAGTTTGGGACACCCTACTGGACAGTAGTGAAGACTTACCCTGAAGCAGATGTAAACTCGGACCACAACCCAGTAGTAGCAAATATGAATGTGAGATTGAAAAAACCATTAATGAAAAGATCTAGACCACAAATATGCATTGATAAGTTAAGAGAACCAAATACGCACCAAGAAACTCAAAACAAAATAAATCAGAGTATCCAAGAAATAAAACAACAAAATAAGAACACTACAGATATTGACACAAAGTGGAAGAATATAAAGAACGCAATCGAGAGTGTGGGACGGAAAACTTTAACATTTACAAAAGCTGCCAAACAAGAATGGATGACACAATAAATTCTCGAAAAGATGGACGAAAGAAGAACACATAAAAACAAAGATAAAATTAAATATCAAGAAATTAATAAACAAATAAAACAGAAAATAATAAAAGCTAAGGAAACATGGATGTCCATTAAATGTCAAGAAATCGAGGAATGTGAGGCAAGGTATGACACTTTCAACACCCATAAGAAGGTTAAAGATATGATTTCAGGAAATCGTAACAAACCAATCGGGATATTAAAAAATGCAGATGGTACCACTATAACTGAAACGCAAGACAAACTACGTAGATGGAAAGAATACATTGAACAACTATTTTATGATCAAAAAGTAGAACAATTATTAGAAGTTAACGGAGAAACCACGGGACCAGAAATAATGAAAGAGGAAGTTATGTATGCTATAAAACACACAAAAGGCAGAAAAGCTCCAGGACCCGATGAAATACCAATTGAACTATTGAAGATAATTAATGAAGATAATATTGATGTCTTGGTAGACCTTTTTAACTCCATATACAAGACGGGACACATACCCAAAGAGTGGCTTCTCTCAACTTTTGTGACGATTCCAAAAATCACAAATGCTAAAGATTGCAATGACTATCGAACAATTGCGTTAATGAGCCACACATTGAAAACCTTCCTTAAAATCATACATAACAGAATCCACATGAAATTAGAACAAGAAATAAGTGATTCACAGATGGGTTTCAGAAAGGGTCTAGGAACTAGAGAAGCGTTATTTGGAGTCCATGTTCTGACACAACGATGCCTGGATATGAATCAGGACATATATGCTTGCTTTATAGATTTCAAGAAAGCTTTTGATAGAGTTCAACATGAGAAGCTTTTAAGTATTCTTAAGACTAAAAACATTGATAGTAGAGATCTACAAATTATATCGAATCTGTATCAAAACCAGAAAGCAAGAGTAAGAGTCGAAGGAGAACTGACAGAGGAAGTAAGTATACTTAGAGGAGTTCGACAAGGGTGTATCCTTTCACCACTCTTATTCAACGTCTACAGTGAAGTGATTTTTCAAGAGGCTTTATTGGATATCGTGGAAGGTATTTATGTCAACGGAAATAGCATTAATAATATTAGATATGCCGACGATACTGTCATATTTGCAAGTGACATGGAAGATCTACAGTACATAATACAACATGTATACAATGCATGTGAAAGTTACGGACTGCAAATGAATCTCAAGAAAACGAAATCAATGATATTCTCAAAAAAACCACAAAATGTAAATAACCTGATCATCAATAATACAACGATAGAAAGAGTAAAAACATATAAATATTTAGGAACGTGGCTAACCGAAGATGGAGATCAAGTAAAGGAGATCAGATCTAGAATAGAAATGGCAAGAAACACGTTCATAAAATTGAAGAAATTACTTTGCAACCGTAACCTTAATCTAGAGATTCGCACAAGAATGCTACGTTGTTACGTCTTCTCTACTTTACTATATGGCATGGAAGCGTGGACAATAAAGCAGTCTGAAATCAAAAAAATAAACTCCTTTGAGATGTGGTGCTACAGGAGAATGCATAAAATATCGTGGATTGAAAAAGTAACTAATATAGAGGTGTTACAAAGAATGAAGAAAGAATGTGAAGTCATAAAAATTGTTAAAATTAGAAAGATTCAATATCTGGGACATTTAATGAGGGGTGAGAAGTACGTATTACTGAGGTTGATTATGCAAGGAAAGATACAAGGGAAGAGAAACCCAGGACGACGCAAAATGTCCTGGCTAAGAAATTTGAGAGAGTGGTTCGGCTGCAGCTCATTAGAATTATTCAGAAATGCGGCCAACAAAGTTAAAATAGCGATGATGATTTCCAACCTCCGCTAGGAGAAGGAACCCGAAGAAGAAGACTGGACAGTGTTCGGTACTGGGCAAGTCTCCCCTATTGAGATTTTTCATACTACATTACGCGTATAAAAGTATCCTTAGAATATTTTTATTCGTAAAATTCCAATTATATTAGTTAAAATACTTGGTATGATTGTTTTGTTTATAAGTACTAACTACGTTATTGTTTTTAGGAGAGAAATTACCGAAATAGGACACACATCCAATATTCGAGCCATTATGATGTCGTTCAATCTTACAATGAGTCGATCAGCTGTCTTTCTTTGTGTGATGACATACGTCCTTACAGGCAACACTTTGACAGCTTCTTACGCATTTACGGTAACATCCTTTTATGCATTCCTAAGAGTATCTGTAACCCAACAATTTCCCCAAGCCATTACGCAGTTTGCCGAAACAAAGGTATCGATATCTAGGATACAAAAGTTTTTAATGTACAATGAATTGGACAGAAGAACTGATTCAGAAAAAAACGGAACGAATGGTATTACTGAAAAGGTATCAGATAAAACAGAGAAGCCAGAAGTAGGTGTTAAAATTAAAAACGCGTCTGTTAAATGGATCAAATCTCAACCAGAAAATACTTTAGAGGAGGTAACATTCGAGGCCAAATCAAATCAGTTAATAGCTGTGGTGGGAACAGTGGGCGGAGGAAAATCTACATTACTACACGTCATTCTTAAAGAATTAGATCCTATAGATGGTAGTGTTGAAGTCAACGGTTCGGTATCTTATGCATCTCAAGAGCCTTGGATATTTGGTGGTAGCATAAGACAGAACATTATTTTTGGCCAGAAGTACGACGAAATTAAGTACGAAGAAGTTTTAAGAGTTTGCTCTCTGGAAAAAGATCTTGCGCTATTTCCTCACGCAGATAGGACTTTAGTAGGGGAAAGAGGAGCCATGTTGAGTGGAGGACAAAGGGCCAGGATTAACTTAGCACGAGCTATTTATAAAGAATCTGATATTTATTTGCTGGACGATCCTCTTTCTGCAGTAGATACTCACGTAGGCAAACAGTTGTATACAAATTGCATAACTGGATATTTGAAACATAAATGTGTTATTTTAGTGACGCATCAGCTTCAGTATCTTCGTACTGCTAACTGCATTTATTTATTCGAAGAAGGGAAAATTCGAGCCTCAGGAACATACCAGGCTTTAAAGAATTCAGACAGTGCCTTTACTAAACTTCTAGCTTCTTCAAAAGACGAAGAGAAAAAAGATTGTGCACGTAGAATTTCTAAGGCAGAATCAGTAGAATCCGAAGCTAGCGAAGCTGAACATGAAGCTATAGAACAAAAAAGAGAGGAAAGGGCTACTGGTACAGTATCGAAAAGGGTTTACACAAATTATATGAATGCTGGTGGTTACTGGTTAAAATCTGTGGTGCTGTTATGTACTTTCGTAGCTGCTCAAGTATTTGGAAGTTTGACTGATATATTCTTAACAACCTGGTAAGTTTATATATATTAATTGAAAAATAAATCATTATTCTTGTCGTCTGCATTAAGATCTTTATTTTGTTGTATCTTATTTTAGGGTCAACGTTGAACAGTGGCGGGTAGACAACAAAAACAATGGAGTCCTTACTAATCAAACTCTTAATGAATCTTTAGCAAATGCTACATACCCTTCAACTGAAAATAAACCTCCATTTTGGAGCACAGTGTTAACGGAAGACAACACCTTAGCAATATATAGTTGTTTAGTAATACTTACCATCGTACTAGCAGTTACGAGATCGATATCGTTCTTTAAATTTTGTTTGAGAGCTTCTACCAATTTACACAATTCTATGTTTGGCAAAATTATTTTCTCTCCGATGTTATTCTTTAATACGAATCCATCTGGAAGGATTTTAAATAGATTTTCGAAAGATATTGGAGCATTGGATGAGTCGTTGCCTAACTGTTTGGTAGATACAATTGGAGTAAGTACAATAAATTTATTGTTAATATAACAATATTTTGTATAATCTTATAGTGTATTTTTATGTATGAGAGAGTAATAAAACAATAAATTATGTATGCAAATCCCTAAACTGTTGATACGGGTGACTCAATGAAAAACAGATATTTGTCAACAAGTTTACAGAAGTATATAGGAAAACAATTTTAAATTGAGTATGACCACCAGGTATAAAGGTTGGAGCAGAATAGAATACAATAGTTGTGAGGGTTACTAATCCCTAAATAAGGTTGCCAGTGTCGGAGTGATGGAGGTTAACAGGTACTAATGAATTTGCAAGAAATGTAAGATATTTATTTTATTGGTTATATATAACCAATAAAAGTTTAATAAGTACCTACCTATTTGCAAAATAAAGTTTAATTCTTTAGATAAAATAAAACGTTTTATTTTATCTGAAATGAGTGCATTCCACGAAGTAAGGGTTTCAACAATCAAACATTTAATTCTTTAATTCCAGGAATCTACGACAGTAATTGACTAGACAATTACCTTCTAAACTTATTCCACAGAAAATGTGATAGTGGGTTTTTCCATTTTGTAGGAAGGTCCAAGTGGCGTATTCAAAATTCTTAACATTTCACTAAAAGTAGGTAGGTACTTCAGTTGCAAGGTGCAGTTTATTGTGTATACTAGTGTTATGGAAAATTTGGAAGTGCCGTGTAAACGCCGAAAAATTGGTCCTTCAACAGTTAATGAAAAAACATTAATGTTTAATTGTTTTAAATCATTTACAGACAAACGTTTATGTGAAAGTGTTGATGAGACCGTTGAGTTAGTTAGCAGTACACTTGGTGTTGGAAAATCTACGATTTACTAATCTACGAGTTATTAAAGAAGAGAAATGTGGTAGTTTTCAAATGCCACGTAATGCTCCAGGGAAACCAAAATTTCAAATAGAATATCATTTTAAAGAAGGACTTCGACGGAAAGTGCATGAATTCTTCTTTAGACAAGAATTTCCAACATTGGATAAAGTTCTTGTCTCAGTTCGAGATGATAATGATTACCCAGAAATGAGTCGAAGTACGTTCTGGAAACTTTTAAAAGAAATAGACTTCCGCTGGAAAAAGAATCCCAGAAAGTCTATTTGATTAGAAAGAAGCGATATTGTCATATGGAGAAGACATTTTCTAAGAACCATAAAGGAAATGAGAAACCAAAAAAGAAAAATATTTTATCTTGATGAAACATGGATCAATGAGGGTCATACACCAAATAAATTTTGGCAGGATGAAACTGTTACAAGTCAAAGGCACGCTTTTGTAAATAACTTATCTACTGGTTTAAACTCAATATCAGGAAAGGGACGCAGACTGATAATAGTACACATTGGCAGTTTAGACGGTTTTGTTGAAGGTGGTTTATTAACTTTTGAATCAACTCGTACCGGTGACTACCATGAAGACATGAACGCTGATGTCTTTCCAGAATGGTTCGAACAAATGATAGATCTTCTTCCTAAGAACTGTGTAATAGTAATGGATAATGCAAGTTATCACTCCAGACTTATAGAATGACTGCCCACAACCAAGTGGTTAAAAAAAGACTTGCAGAATTGGCTGAGTTCAAAAAATATTACGTACCATCCCGGACCTATAAGAAAGGAACTTTATTCGTTGTGTGCCCTTCATAAAGAAAAATTTAAAAAATACGAAATTGATGAAATTGCCAAAAATCGTGGAATGACAGTACTTAGATCCCCACCATATCATTGTGAATTAAACTCGATTGAACTGGTATGGGCACAAAAAAGAGTGAAGTTTCAAGAAAAAATACCACTTTTAAAATTCATGATGTTAAACAGTTGTTTTTGGAGGCCTTAAATAATGTAAAACCTGAAAACTGGGAAAAGGCCGTAAATCACACTATTAAAGAAGAGGAAAAAATGTGGAAGCTGGACAATATTACTGATAAAATGATCGAGCCAGTTATTATAAATCTTGGTTCTGAAAGTTCATCTTCTGAATCTGATTTGGATTTGTAACAAGTAGCTGTAAGTTTTATATTAATATTTTTATTCATCTATTTAACATACCTTAGACGGTTTTAAAAACTCTTTTTCTCTTTTGTAATTTTTAAAAATTAAAAAAAATGTGAATTTTTTAAAACCCTTTTTAATGTAGGCCAGTCAGTTCTAATATAGTGTGTGATAAAAGAGGTCACTTTTGTTTACATACACATAACACTTTATAACACTGAAATAATTCATTTATTTTTTACAATTATTCAAAGTAATTTACTCTCGTTCATAAAAATAAACTATAGTAAAGATATAAAATAGCTCAAAACTTTCCCTTAGGTTTAACGTATTTGTTGATTATATTGAAGCATAAAAAACGTTAACTGCATTGGTGTCAATTTGAACTGTAAATTTACAATAGAAACTCTCATGACATAAGCGTTAAGTCCGTGGCATACGGTCAAATATTTTTGATTAAATTATTTTGTTAACAGAACATCATCAATGTCACTTATCTCCGCACATATATATGTTACATATTCGGTAAAATCTTTTCTTTCTCTTACTCATTCTGACTTTCTGTATACTTCTTGTAATGTTTCAGGTAAATTGGGCACTTTTAAGTAATTATCACTCAAGTTATCTTCGTAATAGTAGCTGGATTCTTTTTCACTAAAAATATTACCATTCTCTTTAGTCTCAGTTTCAACCTTATCTTGGTTTTGTTTCCCCACTGAATGAATAACTTCACACTTCTTTGTGCCTAACATAATTTGTACATCTCTTCTTACTATAATTTCTTTGGTGGTTGCATTATCTGGTATCTGGTTCAGCATATTCTACTAAAATTTGCAAAATATTCTTTTTCTTCCACTATAACCATTTTTATTCTTGAACACTTACCATCAAATTGCTGCCCAATAGTTGTAGGCTACTAACATCTGGTTGATTAAAGATGGGAAATCACCAGGATGTTACTAGAGTCATACCAAATCACAGCTCATACGAAGCTATTCAACAACATCTGCGAGACTGGTTACTTACCCAAAGACTGGCTACTATCAATATTCATTACACTTCCTAACAAAGCCAACGCTAGAAATGTGAACAACATAGATTAATCAGTTTGATGAGCCATGTACTTAAAGTACTCCTTACACGCGCATATACACCAAATTAGAACACCTGAGTGAAGTTCAATTTAGATTCAGAGCATGACTTGCAATGGGGGAAGCACTTTTTAGTTTGTAAGTTCTAATAAAGAGAGACAGGGGTGTCAACTGCGAAGTGTATGCATGTTTCATTGATTTCGAGAAGGCATTTGATAAATTCCAACATGGGACACTAATCGATATCCTAAAAACATTAGGACTCAATGGTAAGGATATAAGGCTGATCTCAAACATATATCTTCAACAAAATGAAACAGTACGATTAGAAAATGAACTGTCCGTGATCTATACAGTCAAAAAAGGAGTTAAACAAGATTGCATATTGTCACCGGCATTATTTAACATATACTCTTTAGAAAACATCTTTAGAGAGGCCTTGGATGACTCAGAAGATGGAATTGTTGTAAATGGCCAACTTATAAACAACATTAGATATACAGACGATATAGTGTTGCTGGCAGATAGTGCGCAGGGGCTCCAAAGAATGATGATCCTAACGTAGTAGAATTATGTAATAAATATGACCTAAAACTTAATTGCAAGAAGACAAAAATATTGGTCATTAGTAAGAACACCGGCATAAACGCCCAAATTACAATTAACGATACACCATTAGAAAGAGTGGAAAAAATATGCTATTTCGGCTGCAATATTAAGGATTTGGGTCATAGCTACGAGATAAAAACTCGTATTGAAAAATCCAGAAGCTCTTTCACCAGCCTTATGAAGATTCTCTGCAATTTATCTTTAAGTATCAATATACGCATAAGAATTATTAGATGTTACGTCTTTAATGTCCCCGTCGATGGAGTAAAAAATTGGCATACTTTGACCACATCATGCGTAATGCGATAAATACCGACTTCTACACTTGATTCTCTCTAAAAGATGGGTACATTTAGAAGAAGAACATCTATTTTACTATCTGTTCACATTTCAAACGGTGTTTTGTTTAAACCAGAAGCCAAAGATCTATTTTTTAAGTAAACAGCTATATTTATAGCTTCAGTCCAAAAATTTTCTTAAGATTGGCATTAAACAAAAAAATATTTTGCCTTTTCTATAACTGTCCTCCAAATGTTTGGATACTCCATTTTTTCAATGCCTGTGAGATATGGTGCTGGAGAAGAATACTGCTCATACCTTGGACATCTCATAGGGAAAACGTTTTCGTTTTAAACCAACTTGAGATTAAAAAAGGCTCTCCACAATATGTCTGCAACGTATACTGCCATTTTCTGTCACGTGGTTCACAGAGAGGACGATAGTTTAAAGAGATTAATTGTTTCTGGAAACGTTCCGGGGAGAAGATCAAGAAGACGATCACCAACTAGATGGTCCGACCAAATTAAGAATTCAGCTGAAAACTCATTCTGCGAAGGTCTCAGAACAGCTGAAGATAGAGACCAATGGAGAAAAATTGTTAGGAGTATTGAAAGAAATCAAGACCCTCAGTAATGCGGAAATGACAAGAGAGAGAGAGAGAGAGAGAGAGAGAGAGAGAGAGAGAGAGAGAGAGAGAGAGAGAGAGAGAGAGAGAGAGAGAGAGAGAGAGAGAGAGAGAGAGAGAGAGAGAGAGAGAGAGAGAGAGAGAGAGAGAGAGAGAGAGAGAGAGAGAGAGAGAGAGAGAGAGAGAGAGAGAGAGAGAGAGAGAGAGAGAGAGAGAGAGAGAGAGAGAGAGAGAGAGAGAGAGAGAGAGAGAGAGAGAGAGAGAGAGAGAGAGAGAGAGAGAGAGAGAGAGAGAGAGAGAGAGAGAGAGAGAGAGAGAGAGAGAGAGAGAGAGAGAGAGAGAGAGAGAGAGAGAGAGAGAGAGAGAGAGAGAGAGAGAGAGAGAGAGAGAGAGAGAGAGAGAGAGAGAGAGAGAGAGAGAGAGAGAGAGAGAGAGAGAGAGAGAGAGAGAGAGAGAGAGAGAGAGAGAGAGAGAGAGAGAGAGAGAGAGAGAGAGAGAGAGAGAGAGAGAGAGAGAGAGAGAGAGAGAGAGAGAGAGAGAGAGAGATACATCTCTAGCCTATTTCGATAATTCCAGTACAAATATTTCCCCGACTCGGCTAAAGTTCCAAGCGCTCTTAGAAAAGTTCCTCGACCACCATTAAATCCACACAGATGCATTTAAGTCCGATGACGGAAAGGTGCATTAATCGTTTTCTCAGGAAACAATATTTTTTTCTTTCTACCTCCAGTATACCACATATTCAGCTGAGCTCTACACTATATGCCGTACTGTGAAACTTTTTAAAGAGCTTACCTTTACAAAACCACTGATTATAATAGATTCTTTTAGCTTTCTAAACTTACTAAAACATATTTTTCCGAAACATTCTTTTGAAAAGTTACTAAAATAACAGCTGTCCCAAGCTCATCAACACGGAAGATGAGTTCATTTTTTTGGGTACCCCTCAGTTATTCTGGGTTATGAAGAGTATGAAATACCTAAACTACACCCTTTATATTTTAAACCAGATTTTATACGCCAAAGGGTCTTCTACTAATAAATATTCCATTGCGTAACCATCTTCTCCTCTGGATTCATTTTATTCTCCAAATACGCTTTTTTAAAAAGGTTATGATTTTTTTTCTTACGCATTAATATTACAATTAGAGCTACTACACATACATTTTTACTTCTTTTTTACTATCATTATTTACTCGTGTGTTTTGTTTACTCTAATCATAAAACAAACTTCTTTGTTAGGTTATCCATATAAAATTGGTAGAGCACATGCCTACATGCTTATTAAAATAAAGATAGTAATAAACACAAAACTTCTTCTTCTTCTTCTTCAGCCTTAATTAATCCAACTTTGGACATAGGCCTCCTCCAAATTAATCCAGTGTTTTCTATTTTGCGCCACTTGCTTCCAGTTGTATTCTCCGATCTTCTTAATGTCATGAGCCCATCTCATTTGTGGTCTTGCTTTGCTTCTCTTTCCTAAGCATGGTCTCCATTGTTGTATTTCGCGATTCCATCTTTTATCCTGCGAAGCTCCATTTTAATTTGGCAGCATGTTCTCCTGCAACAATCCATTTGTTTTTTTTCTATAAGTCTCACCCCGAGCATTGATCTTTCCATCGCTCTTTGTAACTTTACTATTTTATCCATAATAGACTTGGTGAGTATCTACGTCTGTGAACCATACACGAGTTTAGTGAGTAACATTGATCGTAAATTCTGGTTTTCAAATATTGTTTTATTTTAGTGCTTTTTAAGATAAAACATAGTTTTCCAAATCCTGCCAATGCTAACCTTATTCTTCTGGTAATTTTTGCAGTTTGCATTTCTTTGTTAACTTTCATTATCTGTCCCAGGGAGATGTATTCGCTTACTGTTTCTAAATTAATGTCGTATAACGTTATTTCTTTAATGTTCGGTGTATTTGTCATTATTTTGGTTTTTTTCAAGTTCATCTTAGGACCTACTTTTTCTAAAGCTTGAAATAGTTACTTCATCATGGTCTGTAGTTCTTCGAAACTTGTAACGAATATTACAATATCATTAACATTTATTCTGAAAAAAAAGAAAGTCAAGATTTGATTTCACGTACAAAGCGTCTATGTATCTGTTTATACCTATTTTGACCTTATAGGTCTCATCAGAACAGCTATTCATAGGCGTTCTCAACGTGAAAAATAAATTTTTTCTGTCTTTAAGAAGCAACACTAAAATGGCTTCGATATGGACGCAATAGCGACATCTGATAATAAATCCGTAAAATAGTTTCGAAACCAAATCAGATTTCTGCTTTAATCTGAACCTTCTAAAAATTGCAAGGCACAACAGACGTTGATAAAGATGTTAATAGAGACATGGGGAATCTAAAATTTGCATTCTACGATATGTCTCCTCAACTAAGCAGAAATCCTTAGCGAATTGGTTTCTTGTACTCATACATAGTAGATCCGAATAAAATGAAAAAGACAGTCAAGATTTGACTGATCTACTCTGTATGAGTACAAGAAACCAATTCGCTAAGGATTTCTGCTTAGTTGAGGAGACATGTCGTGGAATGCAAATTTTAGATTCCCTATGTCTCTATTAACATCTTTATCAACGTCTGTTTTGCTTTGCAATTTTTAGAAGGTTCAGATTAAAGCAGAAATCTGAATTGGTTTCGAAACTATTTTACGGGTTGATTAACATTTATTCCTTTATCTGTCCAGTTAATGTCTTTGAACACGTCTTACAGTTCAAGTGTGAATAGCTTTGATGAGATAACATCTCCCAGGCGAACTCCTCTGTTAATTAATATAGCTTTGGTTTTCGCATCGATTTGTATTTTTATTGTAGTTTTCTTGTAAATATTGTGTGTATATGTATGATGAATATTATGTATCGGGAGTCTATCCTGCAGTTGTTCGTAGCTCTCTCTATTGACCAAAATTCTATTCTTTTTCATAATCAACGAAACCAAATTATAAGTTCAATTGATATTCATTGCCTTTCTCTATTAGCGTTCTGACTGTAAGAACAAGATCTGCTGTACTGCAACCCTTTCGGAGTCTTGCCTGCTCTACCGGTTGAAAGCTATCAAGTTTCAACGTTAACCTGTTAGTTATTACTCTCATAAACAGTTTGTACATTTAGAACAGCAGGAAGATCGGCAGATAGTTCTTCAGATCTCCCCTGTCTCCTATTTTGAACAGAAGTATTGTCAAATTTTCATTCCATTCATCTGGGATTTCTGCTCTGTGAATACATTCGTTGAAAAAATTTATCAATTCTTCGAGAATAATTATTGCACTTTCCTGCTTCAACATTTCAACAAGTATTCTATCTAGGCTCGGAACCTTATTGATTTTTAGTTTAGCCATAGCTTGTTTTATTTCGAAGGATTCTATGATTAGGGAGTATTTCTGAGTTGACGTTTGTTATCTTTCTCTTAAGATCTTCCTTTGCAGTGCTATCAGGGTTCTTGTTTGAGGAATGTAAATTACGGTAAAATATTTGAATAACTTCTAGGATTTCGTTCTTTTCTCTTATTTCTTTTCCATCTTTATCCATAAATAAGATTATTATAGGATTTTCTTCTTCTTCTTCAAGTGCCGTCTTCGTTCCGAAGTTTGGCTATCATCAAAGCTATGCGTATTTTTGATGCTGCAGATCTAAACAGTTGGTAATTGGTGCAATTGTACCATTCTCTCAAGTTTTTCAACCATGAATGCCTTCTTCTTCCTATAGATCTCTTTCCCATTATCTTTCCCTGTATAATCAACTGCAGCAACTGGTATTTATCTCCCCTCATAACATGTCCCAGGATTTTCTTAGTTTGATCTTAAGCATTTCAGGCCTCGGTCCTTTTCTATTATTTTTTCTACCTGGTTTTTATTCTAGATCCTTAAATCTCCCTTCTTTATTTATTTATTCAGATATTCTTTGAAACCATCGGTGTTTCGCTTATCTTCGCTTAGAAATATGCACCTTTTTTCATCAACCGTTTTCTTCCATCACTTATTCTGCCTTCTTTATTTTTCGTTTTCTTTGCAACAGTCAGCCTTGCTTTCAAAAGCTTTCGTTGCATTTTTTTATTAATTGTGTTCATGTCAAAATATTCTTGTTGATAATGTTCTACAAATTCTTTTCTTAAGACTTCTCTCTACTCATTTCCCTTCTGTCGTATTTTAGTTTGATCTATCTGATTACAATAATTATGTGGCCCGTTTCTATCGGTTTTCGTCTGTTTACTAAGAATCATTGCTCTTAAAAGGCGATGATCGCTGCCAGTTGTGAATCGATTGAGAGCAGTTATATCTTCAAAAGTGTCGTTGTTCCCACACAAGAAGTCATCGATCTCGTTTTTCGTCTTTTTATCGGGAGATATCCACGTCCATTTTCGGTTTGCTGGTTTCTTGAAGTATGTGTTAATGGCATATAAATTTTGTTGTTCTAACAAGTTATATAATAATTATAGCAGCAAGTTAAAAAGTGTAACACGTCATGTGGTTGAGATGGAAGACGAAATCATTAAATATTTTTTAAGTGTAAACAAATTAATTATACTCAATAGATACAAGCTAGTTTTTTAATCAAAAAAGAACCGAGCTGTTAATTATATTCTGACAATATTGAACTTTGTTTTAGATTGGTCTGATTGTTACTGGTACAACTTTAGTTATTGCATCAGTCAATCCATGGGTTCTTCTACCCACAGGCATAATAGTAGTAATTTTCTACTTCATTAGGCAAGCATTTTTGGCATCCAGCAGAGACATTAAAAGAGTAGAAGCTGTAAGTAAGTATGGTCTTAAAATAAATAATATATAGTATAAATATTCTATATTGTAGAATTCCAGCTTTGAATGGATAATTACAGTCTTATAGGTAAAGAAATAATAAATAATACTTACTCACAATCAATTTAATTTAGCTATCAGACGACCGGTTTCGCTTTCTACAATATGCAAAGCATCCTCAGGTCTCGATACAAAGTTAAACAAATGCTGAAATGATAAAAACCCATATTAGGGTGTTGTCTAATAACGAGAAACAAAGTAGATGTTGTAAATTACAATAATTATGCCAATATTACATGTCTGTGATTTTATTTAAAAGAGTAAGTGGAATAAAAAGTATAAAAGTTTTAAAAGTTTAAACAGACAAGGTAAGGCCCACAAATTTTTATAAAATAGTCTATTAGATTGTAATAAATTAATAAATGAGCAAATAAATAAAATAAATATTACTTACATGCCGGTACTCTATTAATTGATGGATGGTAGAACATGGTTGGAACTACTATGTATTGTTGAATGGAGAACTCAATTCTGTTATTGCAGTTGTTTGACAGTAAACGGGAAGTTCTTGAGGAGATAGATTTGATCCAATGAAGAAGAGATATGTGTGTGATTGTTTGTTAAATGAACGTGATGTAATATACCATTGTATTATTAAAAGTTATTTATACTTATTCGAGAGATATATTTATGAAATGTGTGTTATTTATTGAGTGATTGTTTTATGAAGGTGACAGTTTTATGACAATGAATAAGTTTAGATGTAAAAATTGTGTGGGTGTGCAAATATTTTTCAACTTATAGTTATCAAATTACTTTGATAAAGTTCTATTGGCAATTAGTAAATTATTGAAAAATCAAGTAAATAAAATATTAGAATAAAAACAATTAAGGATAATTTAAACACACTAAAACAGAAAACATTTAGAAGGGACGAAACAAACATTAAATTTAAAAGGGGGAAGGACTTTAATGAAGACTTTATTCTAATATTTTATTTACTTGACTTTTCAATAATTTACTAATTGCCAATAGAACTTTATCAAAGTAATTTGATAACTATAAGTTGAAAAATATTTGCACACCCACACAATTTTTACATCTAAACTTATTCATTGTCATAAAACTGTCACCTTCATAAAACAATCACTCAATAAATAACACACATTTCATAAATATATCTCTCGAATAAGTATAAATAACTTTTAATAGTACAATGGTATATTACATCACTTTCATTTAACAAACAATCACACACATATCTCTTCTTCATTGGATCAAATCTATCTCCTCAAGAACTTCCCGTTTACTATCAAACAACTGCAATAGCAGACTTAAGTTCTCCATTCAACAATACATGATAGTTTCAACCATGTTCTACCACCCATCAATTAATAGAGTACCGGCATGTAAGTAATGTTTATTTTATTTATTTGCTCATTTATTAATTTATTACAATCTAATAGACTATTCTATAACAATTTGTGGGCCTTACCTTGTCTGTTTAAACTTTTAAAACTTTTATACTTTTTATTCAACTTACTCTTTTAAATAAAACCACAGACATGTAATATTGGCATAACTATTGTAATTTACAACATCTACTTTGTTTATCGTTATTAGACAACACCCTAATATGGGTTTTTTATCATTTCAGCATTTGTTTAACTTTGTATCGAGACCTGAGGATGCTTTGCATATTGTAGAAAGCGAAACCGGTCGTCTGATAGTTAAATTAAATTGATTGTGAGTAAGTCTTATTTATTATTTCTTTACCTATTTGAAATGGACTCACACAAGCAACACATTCATGATCATGAATTACAGTCTTCTTTTAAATAATACGACACTCTTGTTTTATTATTTCGATAAATTTTACCAAATGTTTCGTTTGATTTGTAGCTCGCAGTCCAATCTTTACGCATTTATCGGCATCTTTGCAAGGACTAACAACTATAAGAGCTTTTAGAGCTGAAGAAATTCTTACTAAAGAATTCGATCACTTTCAAGATGCTTACACTGCAGCATACTATATGTTTTTGACTGCTAATCGTGGATTTGGATTTTGGTTAGATCTTCACTGTGTTATGTTTATAGGAATGGTGGTCGTAAGCATATTGTTTATACAGAAAGGTACGTATATAACGGATTATCAAGTCTTTATTGTTGATAGTAAATATATGTTTGCCTCATATTTTTCTATTGTATTTTTTATTGTAATTTATGTAGAAATCATGATTAGCATCTTAAGAAACTGAGATAATTTGTCTTGAACTTCTTGTATCTAAAATAACCAACCCGAGGTATCTCGTTTTAAACAATTTAGTGAGAATTTAAGCGGTTTTTTTCGTTCTTTCGAATTTAGCGGAAAGCACACCTAAGTGATCACTACGCGATGGCGATATCCCGTCTGAAACATACAAGTAAATAAGCACATACTGGTCGCGATCTGCAAGCGATCAGAAGAATTTATGAAGGACTGACTTAGGTCCGAAACTGTATATGTAGAAAAAACCAATAATTGAAACGCCTTTTTGCGTAAGATTGGGAAATAGAAAAGGTTCCTCAATATAAAGCAATACCTGCATTTTTCTAATAATGATTCTTTCGACAAAGATACTCATCCAAGTCCGAAACTGTATAATCTGGGAAGTTTATGAATACCCAAATGTTAAGTACAAATCTGGACCTTAAATCGAAAATGGACCATGGATTACTTCTTCTTCTTCATGTACCATGTCCTTTCAGAACGTTGGTTACCATCATAGCTATTTTAATTTTATTCACTGCCACCCTAAATAGCATGCTTGTATCTACATCATACCAATCTCGAAAGTTCTTCAACCATGAGGTTCTTCTTCGTCCTGGACTGCGTTTGCCTGCTATTTTTCCTTGCATGATATTTTGTAGCAATCTATATTTGGGACCTCTCATTAGAGGTCCGAAATATTCCAGCTTTCTCTGCTTGATGCTTTTTATGATCTCAGTAGTCTTGCTGAGACGTTCAAGTATTGTGGAGTTACGAATCTTCTCCACCCAGGAAACTTTTAAAATTCTTTTATAGCACCACATTTCGAAAGCCTCAAGGCGATTTAGATCGATTTTATTCACAGTCCAGGACTCGACAGCATAAAGTAAGACCGAGAACACGTAGCAGCGAAGTAGGCGGATCCTTAATGCTAATTTTAGGTCTCTGTTACATAACACCTTGGACATCCTTCTAAAAGCAGCTCTAGCCTGCTCTATTCTGGATCTAATTTCGCCGTGATTTTCTGCATTACAATTTAATTGCTGTCCAAGGTAGACGATTTTATCAACTTGCTCAAGTTTGGTATTATTTACATGAATTACGGAATCTAGAATATACAGGGAATCCGGAACAATCGAAAATTAGATATAACCATTCTCTCTGAGACCAAGAAAGAAGGAAATGGAAGCGAAAAATTAAAATACTATACATTTCTTCTCAAGAGTGGAAAAGGATCAAAGAGCAAGAGCAGGGATATCAATATTTGTACACAAGAAATTCGAAAAATATATTAAATCTTGGGAAGCATACAACGAACGTTTTATTAAAGTGACGATTCTCCTAAGAGGAATACAAATACCAATTCTAGGGGTATATTCCATAAACGATGACAGTACAAGAAAAGGAAGCTGTTGGAAAAGACTTCAGCAAAATCCTGAACGAAATTCCTAACAGCCATGAGATTATATGCAGAGGAGACCTTAATGTCTTCTTCTTACGGTGCCTTATCCTTAAGGACGTTGGCCATTACATTTGCCCATTTAATCTTATTTGTAGCAGCCTTGAATAGTTCTATGGAGGTCATGTTCGTATATTGCCGTCGGTGTTTAAGCCAAGAGTTGCGTCTTCTTCCTGGTCCTCTTTTGCTATTGACTTTGCCTTCGATTATAAGTTGGAGCAGTTCATACTTTTGATTTCTTATGATGTGACCAAAATATTGTGTTTTCCGTTCTTTTATTATAAGCTTAAGCTCTCTTTCCTTAATCATCCTCCGCAAGATTTCCGCATTTGTTGTATGGCTCATGTAGGATATTCTGAGCATTTTACGGTAACACCAGAGTTCGAATGCTTGGATTCTTTTTTGTGTTGCTTCTGGCATTGTCCAGGCTTCAACACCATAGAGCAAGGTGGAGAAAACATAGCACTTAAGTATTCTAGTTCTCAATGAGATGCTCAGCTGGCGGTTGCATAGAACTTTTTGCATTTTGTAAAACATTGTACGTGCCTTTTTCAGGCGTATTCTTATCTCTGATGAGTGGTCCCAAGTTTCTTCAAGATTACTTCCAAAGTACGTTGTTCTTTTTACTCTTTCCAGATCTGTTCCGTTGACATTGACCTTCACCCTTCTGTTTTGGTGCTTGCTGATGACCACCGTTTTTGTCTTCTTTGTATTCAATTTCATTCCAAATTCTCTACAGGCTGTCGTTACTCGGGCCATTAAGCGTTGCAGGGCTTCAGCATTATCTGCCAGTATGACAGTGTCATCAGCATATCGCAGGTTATTTATACATTGCCCGTTTATAATTATACCATCCGAGGTGCCTTCAAAAGCTTTCTGAAATATCTTCTCAGAGTAAACATTGAACAGCAAAGGTGATAGGACCCATCCCTGTCTTACTCCTTCTCGATATTGATTTTTCCAGATTAGAGGTTTGAAATGATCCCTAAGTCTTTATCGTCGATATTACATGACCTTTAAATATCTATTAGTTTATCATGTTTTACCAGGTCAAACGCCTTCTGAAAGTCTATAAAACACAAGTATACATCAGAATCGACATCTCTACATCTTTCAACTAGCACACGTATTGAAAAAAGTGCTTCTCTTGTTCCGAACCCATTCTTAAAACCAAACTGAGTTTGACCAGTGTGTTCCTCTAGTTTATTGTATACTCTATTGTGTATTACTCGTAGGAAAAGCTTCAACATATGATTCATCAGGCTAATAATCCTATGGTCTTCACATGTCTTGGAGTTTCTCTTCTTTGGTAGTGGTATAAACACCGATGTCAGCCAATCATTTGGTATTATGCCCGTTTCGTATATTTTGTTAAATATATCTTCCATTACTTCTATGTGTTCGTCTAGTAATATCTTTACTATTTCAATTGGAATATTATCTTCCCAAACAGCTTTTCCGTTCTTTATCTGATTTGCCGCTTTGATAATTTCTTGCTTTGTGATATAAGGTCCAGTCGATGCCTCCTGCATTTAAATGTTCGTGCTCTCTCCGTCTTGAAACATCTCTTCCACGTATTCTCTCCAACTACCTATTTGATCTTCTATGTTCAGTAGCGGGTTTCCATGTTTATCTTCGATGAAAGTCGTAGGAGTTTATTTAAATATTCCAGCGACTTCTTTTACTTTTTTATGTAGATTGAAAGTATCATGTCTTTGTTCCAACTCTTCAATTTCTTGGCATCTTTCACTTAGCCAGGTTTCTTTGGCTTGTTGGATCTTTATTCTGATATTCTTGTGTATTTGTTTGTATGTTGTTTCATTTTTACCTCTGTATTTTCTTCTTTCGTCCATCATGTTTAGAATTTCTTCTGTCATCCGTGGTTTGTCAGAGTAGGAAAACAAGTACAAAGTAAAGTGGTAGGCATGAAGAAGAAACTGTTAACAACAATGAAGAAAGGCTCATAAATATATGCCAACAATATGAGTTAAAGATTTTGAATGGTTTTCTCGCCCACAAGAACATACATAAATACACCTGGTATCAGCACAAGAGGTCTAAAATCGATAATAGAGTATTTCATAACAAGACACCAAACTAAGTTAAGAGTACAGGACGTAAAGGTGAATAGAGGAGCAGAGTACGGCTCGGACCACTGCCTGATAATAGGAAAAATATATATACCATTCGTAGACAGGAATCACACAGACATCAACAAAGAACACAGAGAACAAATAGAAAGAACTACGTACACCTTAGACAATCTAGATAACAAGAACACACAGTTATTTTACTCCTGGAGACTACACAAAACACAAAAATTACCGGAGTCACACAGATCAACGACGGATGAATACGAACATATAAAAAACTGCATGAAAGACGCAGCGCTAGAAGCCTTATGGTAACAGATACGGAGAGTAGATAAACCATATTGGTGGGATAAAGAAGTGGAAAAAAGAAGGAAGTATATCAAAAGTTATTACAACAGGGAGACGAAGAAACAAAACAACAATATAAAAATAATTGAATAAAGAAGTCTAACGAGAAGTGGTTAAAAAGAAAAATAGTGCATGGGACCAAAAATGCCAATAACTAGACAACCATATAGGAAGTACAAAGAGCTCTGAAGCCAGAAGAACTATAAAAACGATGAGAACAAACCAAGTCATAATAAATAGAATACCAGAGAACACATGGATAGAGCATTTTGAGAACTTATTAACAGAGAGAAGAGAAAGGTTTAAACAGGCAAATGAACAAGTGGAAGTAGAAGGAAGAATAGAAATATCAATAGAACAAGTAAAAGAAGCAGTTAGGGAAATGAAATTAAGAAATTCTCTAGGCCCAGGCCGAATACATCCAGAGTTGATTAGGTATGGATCATCAAAACTGTTTGAAATGATCCGAAAATTATTCCAAGGATGCTTAAACGGAGAAGAAGTTCCAGAAAAGTGGAGACAATCGTATATCTCTCCAATAAACAAGAAAGGCACAAAGACAGATCCTAAAAACTATAGAGGGATCGCAGTGATTGCTACTATAGGCCGATTACACTCAAAAGTACTACGAAACCTGGTAGAAAATGATATTAAAGACAAACAACCCGAAAAACAAGCGGGATTTAGGGTCGGACACTCCACCATGGATAATATTTTCACATTTAAAATTGCAATGGAAAAACGAGTGAGAAATAGAGAAATCCATATTGCTTTAATAGATTTGGAAAAAGCATAGAACAGTGTACTGATCTCCCAACTATGGATAGAAACGGGTAACTTGAAAATAAACCCAATTCTTATTAACGTTACTCAAAAATACTACAAACAAAACTTTGCAAGAATTAAACTAAGACAAGAAATCACTTCTCCTTTTCAAACAACAAAGGAACGAAGACAAGGCTGCTGTCTGTCACCCACCTTATTTAAAACCTATTTGGACAAATCCTTGGTGAAATGGGTAAAAAAATGTAGAAACATGGGAATAACGATGGAAGAAAACACGCTATATACACTTTTATTTGCGGATGATCAGGTAGTAATTGCTGAAGACAGCTAAGATCTTAGCTATATGGTAAGAAAACTGCAAGAAGAATATGAGGTGGCAGGTCTAAACATAAATATGACAAAATGTGAATGTGTCTCAGTGGGAACATATGGAATATGTGACCTAGTCTGGGAAGACGACAAAATCAAAGGCGTGTAATCCTGCAAATATTTGGGGGTCATTTTCAACAAAAAGGAAAATAGCGCAGATGAAATCAGGGAAAGAATAAACAAGGGCAGAGCAGCGACCCGTGCCTTAAACTCTCTTCTCTGGCAAAAAACAATTCGACGAGAAACCAAAAAATACATTTACGATTGTATAGTCCAAAGCATTACACTTTACGGTTCGGAAGTATGGGACGTCACCAAAGCTAAGAGAAACAAACTTATGACGACAGAAATGGATTTAGATTTAGATTAGATGGCTAATAGAAACAAACTTATGACGACAAAAATGGATTATCTGAGACGAAGCTGCGCTAGATCGAAACTTGAAAGAGTTAGAAACGAGCAAATAAGAAACGACATGAAAATGGAGCGAAGTACAGATGGCCTAGAAAAGTACTGGAATGGATCCCTCCTGAAAGAAGAAAGAGAGGACGACCGCGGAGAAATTGGCGCAACGATATTGATGAAGTAATGGTGGCAAGAGACTTAGAAGAGGCAACTGCATATGACAGAAAAATATGGAAATTGGGGGCGGAGAAGCGGCCCTAAATACAAAGGAAGTACAAATCTTTGTATGATTTGGATAGCGATATAACAATTGACGAGAGCTTACTTTTAATTTAATTTTTAACGAACTTTTATTTAAAATTTAAAATTTGGTTTTTAACATTTTCTTTATATTTTTTCTTAATTACTGGTATTACCTGGTTGGCTATTCGAGCCTTAAAATCCTTCAATAATATCATTTTTCCTCTGACTTAATCTACTACCTGTTGCAATTCGTCATACAACGTTTCTCTAGTTGTTTAAAGCTCATTATTTTCTGGGCCGCATACTACGATGATGTTCAGATCTTCCTTCTCCATACTTATCGTTGCTGTTACAATCTTTTCTAATATGTATAGACACTATTTTATGTGATTATGGTACCTGTGGTGTATTAGTAAGGCTATAATTTCTTTGGCCCTGTTTAGTGGTGGCCCTAATGTAGTGTAAGCTTTGGTAAGTGTTCTTTGCATGGACGTATAAATAAAGATGGACTAGGCATGCCCTGCATTCTGTTCACCTAAATTTGAAGTCGAAAAATTTATAGGCGCGGGGAAAGAGACGAGGTGATAGACTGTGACATTTCCTTTTAAGCCAGCGGCGTACCTTCCAATATTTGAAAGTTATTTGAAACAGTTTTTTCACTTGAATAAATAATGACTATTGGTTTGACTTTTGCTTTTGCTTGCTTTTATTTTTAGTATCGTAAGCATATGAAATATTTCGAATAAGTGAGAGGTGAATAATTTTAATTTTCAGTTTATAGAAATATATTTATAAAAATTAATTTACACAAAAGAATAAAGATGGAGTAAATAAAATCGTAAAGTACTTTATATAATATTTTATTTAAACTAAAATATCACACAAGCAATAAAAAGTTTAAAAAATTCTTCCCCAAACATTAACCTGTTCAGGGTATTGAGTATGTTCTGCTCTTATCCAGTGAGTGATAAGTTGAAAAAATATAGTGAATTATGGTGTATAACTCCAGCTTAATTGTTAATTGGCAACATTAGTATGTCACATTAGACATAGCAGTAGACAGAAGAAAGATAAAAATTCAGGAATATGTATTTAAGAAAATATTAATAAACGTAATAAAACCATAAACCATTGTTTAACAAAAAATAAACAACAAACCACATATACAACAATATATAAAACACATTAAACCTTATGGAACGGGTAGGGTTCTAAAATAGAAATATGCTTTATTGTCACTGAAAATTATACAATGCTTACAAAAAGTAAAAAAAAAAACAACAATAACAATTAAAATTTACTAAAATTACAAAAATCGTCAATATTACAAAATAAAAGATAGTAAAATATACAATTCATTGCAAAATCTAATTGTTGGATAATAAAACCTTACGAAATAGTTTACGAATAAGTTTTAGTTGTTGCATGTGATACACAAATATATATATATATATATATATATATATATATATATATATATATATATGTTTTCCGGGTTTGACTCCGCGTTAAATAGTTTTGGTTTTTAGAAAAACCATTGTTTTGACGACGTTTCGGCAAGGTCACACTTGCCATTGTCAAGTCAGATTAATTCTGCTTCGTTCAGTTCTCCTGAAACATCAAGACAAATGATTTGTGTTCTGTGCTATGACTGTGAATATCTCATGACTTCAAGTATAGATGTAAACAGACCGGTCCATCTTTATTTATACGTCCATGGTTCTTTGTTACAACATTAATGAGTTTATTTCTTAATAGTTCTTCAAACTGCAAATACGGGGGGTGGTTTTAATAGAACTTTCATAATATTGTTACTAAATACAACGGTTCGAACTTATTGCTGAATCTGTTTCTTTTGATGAATCTGATGTTCTATCATTTCGTCTGATGTTTGGTGATTTATGTTTTCTTTTATGACTGACTAATATGTTTCTTGAAGGTATTTTTCGTTTTGGTTATGCCTTCTTCTTCACTTGGAAGATTGATAGGGAGCTTTATTACTTTAATCAATATTTCTGTATACAACTATAGTCCTTATTGTGGTGACGGATTAACGAAAACTAATAACTTTTTATATTTCCAGAAACTTTTGGTGGAAATGTTGGCTTATCACTGACTCAAGCAATAACACTTTCTGGAATGTTCCAATGGGGTATGCGTCAATGGAGTGAACTCGAAAATCAAATGACATCAGTAGAGAGAGTGCAAGAATATGCAGATCTACCAAAAGAAAAAGACGAGATTAAAAAGGAACCACCACCTAACTGGCCAAGCTTAGGACATATGAAGTTTGAGAACATGTCCTTGAGATATTCTGAGGATAGTCCATACGTATTGAAAAATCTCAACTTCGAAATCAAACCTAAACAGAAGATTGGTATAGTTGGTAGGACTGGTGCTGGTAAATCTTCTTTGATACAAGCGGTATTTAGGTTGGCTCAAAATGATGGTCATATATTTATAGATGGTATAGATAGTAAGAGCGTAGAATTGAGATTACTTAGATCCAAAATATCAATCATACCTCAAGAACCAGTATTGTTTTCAGGAACGCTAAGGAAAAATTTAGATCCGTTCGATGAGCACAAAGATGAAGTAAGTTTTACTGTTGTTTTCATTTTCATTACTTTTTCCGTTACATGATACACAAAACACCCTTAAAGAGCTTTTCTACATATTTCATCGAGATAATATAAATTTAAACTTGGATTTCTGTAATTAAAGGAACATGTGCTTTCAAGTCAACAGTTTAAGTCAATTCGCATCTCTATATTTTATTCTCTTTTCAAAGTACCCGGTTTTATAACACCAGTTTGCTAAAACGCAGTATATAAGAGATAGGCTGGTACAGTGGCCACCTTAAGTAAATTGAAGATAACTTTAATATATATATATATATATATATATATATATATATATATATATATATATATATATATATATATATATATATATATATATATATCAATAACCATTCTACCCTAAGGTGTTGGGTGTAAAGTCTCTTTTAGTTTTCATGTACAAACTTCCTCCAATTCTTCTTGTTGCTTGCCAACTTCTTCGCTTGCTCCTTGGTGACTCCTCTCCTGTCTAGGATGGCGGCAATTTCATCGTCCCAGGTCTTCATGGGTCTGCCCCTCGGTCTTTTCAAGGTTATTCTCGCTTCCCACACTTCTTTCACTTGGCTTTTTTTTATCCATCCTTACCATGTGGCCGTACCATCTCAGTTGGGCTTCTTCGATTTTCTTCTCTATTGACTGGACTTTAAGGCGTTCTCTTATTTCATTGTTCCGTATCCTGTCCATTCTGGTCACCCCTAGTACTCTTCTTAGATACTTCATTGATATACTTTGCAGTTTACTTTTTAGTCTGGTGGTGAGCGTCCAGCTTTCACATCCAAATGTTAAGATAGGTATAAAAACTGTGTTGTAGATAGCTATCTTTGCTTTTTGGGATACTTCTTTTTTCAATAGGAATGTGCTCTTAATTGCGTGGTATATCCGGGAAGCGTTTGCTATTCGATTATTTATCTCTGCTTCTTGTGTACCCTTACTCTCTAGTTGCACTACTAGGTATTTGAAGGTTTCTACTTGTTCTAAAGTATAGTTATTGATTTTAATGTTTGTATGTTGGTCTGTTTTCCCACATACCATCACTTTGGTTTTACTTTCATTAATTCTCAGATTGCGTTTCTCAAGTTTATCTCTCCATATTTGGAGGTTTCTCTTTAGTGCGTCCTCGTTTCTTCCAAATACGACGAGGTCACCTGTAAATGCGCACTCCGCAATCTGTATCATTTCCAGGTTTCTATGTCCAACAAATAATCTCGATGTTTCTTCTCTAGTTTCCTTCATTACATCATCTAGTACAATATTGAACAGGATGGGGCCTAGTACACCTCCTTGTCGTAAGCCATCATTGACTCTAAACTCTTCTGATTCCATATTATCTGTTCTTACCCTGTTTCTTGTGTTCTTGTATAGATAACTTTAATACAAATCATAATATATTAATCAGTATCAACTCAAACAACGTCAAAGCACTTGGTAAATTAAAAGTGTACTCTGCAATCCCAAAAAATACATGGTTATGCACTTCTAACTAATTTTGATTTTTCAAAAAATTTGCTGTTCGTTGTGTTGCTCCATCACTTTTTGGTTGGGTTAAAATGAGTTTAACATCTTCTTTTGTAATTGCAGAATCATACAGAATCTGTAACTGTAGGAAAAGGAAACTGTATTCCGTGACGCCTTAGAAAATTGTATTCTTGACCAGAAGAAAAAACTTCTGTAACTTGTGCAACATAAAACTTTGAAATTATCTTTGTTTGAAACCTCACGAGAACAAATGATCCTCACTTCCACCATTCGTGAGGATATGTCTTCGTCAGAAATTTCATCTACTTCTAAAAATAGACTAACATCGACGGAATCCACAACATCAAACAATTCAATGTCACTGTTACTGTCATCACGGGGTATGCTTTTATTTTTCTTTGCATTACTTCTATTCGACTTGTTTGAACTATCAATTTTTTTTTACTGTTGTATTAGCTCTCTTCACTCTACTTTGCCTTGATATTTTTTTTGCAGTTTCTGCTTTTATTCTTTCATAAATTGGTGTATCCGTTAAAATTTCAGTAGTCTTCTTTTTCCTTTGTTTTTTTAATGGCAATAAATAACACCTGACAAGAAACAGTTTTCTTGTCAGGTGTTATTTCCGATGGATGTTTCTGATTTGTTTCTGGTATTTTATCTGGATAAATTGATGTTGAAGGGAACTGAATGACGATTTGTGGTATATCCCTAATATTTGAATTATTTGGTTGTTGTTCTTCTTGATGTATATTTGGCATGTCTATTACGGTTGAAGCAAGCCTTAAAATCATCGCCATTAAAAATGATATCATTGAATGGAAATAATTCAATAGCTTTAAAAGCTAATATCACAGTTTTGGGACAGAAAGCAAGTGGATAAGCGTCGCTCAAAATCTCTGCTATGTCGTAAATTGTTATCCTCTTTCCAGGATTTTTCAATAACCAATTTTGACACCAATGTGAGTAATATTTCTTCAGAGGACCAAATACAGCTTTATCCAGTTGCTGAAGGCGATGACTAGTATGTGACGGCAAAGTCAACATTATTATTATTTTATTATGCAAATTTATTAGATGCTAAAGAAACATGGCTCTCATGGTTGTCCACGATTAGTAAAATGGGAGATTTCTTTGTAGGATTAGTATGTTTGACAAAATGTATCCACTGTTCAAATAATTCTGCTGTCATCCATCCAGATGGTGCAACACACCCCTGAGAACCTGGAGGTGCGTTTTTAACCATACAATCTTTAAAAAATTTCCTAGGGAACACTAAAGACGGCAGAATCGAATTACCTATAGCGTTTATTGCATTGCATATGGTTACCAAAGTGACTCTTTCATTTGAAACTATATGGCCTACTTGTTTCTGTCCCTTTTTGGCTATTACTTTTCCTGTATCTTGCACAGTTGTTAGTGCTGTTTCATCAACATTGTATACCTGACTAGGTGTTCATGCATATTTTGAATAAATCTTTTTAAGATTATTAAAAAAATTTGCAACGACTGGTCGATTAAACCCTATTGCCCTACCTAGTGAAGTTTCTTCTGCTAATCGTAATGATAATTCTGAATTTCGTTTCATTAAACTTGTAAACCAAAACTTGATTGCTAATTTGTTTTTTTCCCATGAAGTTGATATTTTTTGCCTGTTAGCAATTGCCAAATCATAAGCTAGTTGTCTGGCACCTTTCGGATTAAGACCATGATACAGCTTGGTCATCATCTGTAAACAATTACTCAGTTCTTTTTCTTAGATTGAAGAAAAAATTTGATTGATACCATAATTTGGTGTCAATCTTGGAGCTCCCTTAAGAATATCTGAAGTCCAATCTATATTATTTTTATTTTCGTTGCACTTAAATATCTCCTAAACGTAGTGCGTGGAATGTCGTATTTTAAAGCAGCAGTCTTTTGTGATAATCCACCTTCCCAAACATCATAAATAGTTTTTCTCATATATTTTCATCTGTAGTTTTTCCAATACCGGGTTGTTCTGGTATTTTCCGTGGCATATTACTATCTGAAACAAAATTATCTTTAATATTTTTTGCAGAAAGAACATGACCACTGCTTTTTAAAAACTTATGTAGGAACAGTGGCCACCATTTTTTTTGTCAAATGCAGTGGCCACTGTTCCTGCATAGGTGGGTGACCACTGTACCAAAAGCTCATTGTTTAGGAGGCATAACCTAATATCTACTACTTTGAAGATAGATCTTAATTTGAATCACCTGCAAGTTTTAAATACTATGCTGCATACCACAAAACATACAAAACATTTAATAGGTATATTATTATTGTTCTGTATGGTTCTGGAAACGATGGTGCAGGGCTCAAGCCTAGTAAGCAACTACTGTGACTAAAATTGTTAGCGTTTGTACTAGATGGCGCGTCTGTATCTCTCAAACAACAACAACATATTTAAAAGTAGCCACTGTACCTGACTAGCCACTATTCCAGCTTCTCCTCTACCTATAAAACGTGGGGCTGTATTGTGTCCAACTAAATTTATGTTTTAATAGGTATCTGAAAGTCATAACGGGAAAAATACAAACGAGCAATGGTTAAGGTTCATTTTAATAATGCTCTTAGGAACAAAAATCACAAATAAATGAATTGTCATTTTCGTCGCAGCCATTGCAAGCGTCATGGGTCCACCTTTTACAATTTAAATATTTTGTTCAACCTTCTTTTGATTTAGAGTTTAAAAATAAATTGTTTCAATCATGGACGTATAAACATAGATGGACACAGCAATAAGATACCTTTAACACACAATGTTTTGAAGCTTCGATAGAATGTGATGCTTCCGCAATGAGCATAAGCGTGTTTGAATTTTTACTCGCGGGTAATTATTCAGATTTTAAAAATTGGAATTAGTAATAATGTATAAAAACACGTTCAAAAATTTAAAAAAACGAGAGTTTAACTATTAACAAATCACCTCTTTATAGAAAAATTAAAATACAATTTTATTTGCTTTAAAATTAATACAATAAAATATAGTTGAATTCAAGTTAATTTTTAATAGGTATCAAAATAATGCTACTATAAAAAATCTTTATGTTTTCTCCTAAATTTGCTACCAAAATAGTTCGAATATTATTTGGAAACCTACATAGAAAAATAAATGAGTTTTATTCATTTCACTAATTTATTTGCATCCATGAGAAATATTAAATTAAAAAGGTACTAAACAGATATTTTTTAATCAGATGATTTCTACTTGCAATTTAAAAATGTCTACTCATTTCACGAACTTATATCTTATTCAATACATTAATAAACATGAATAAACCCAATGGTACGCCTATTAATATAAACAAACACGGTTCCTCATTTCCTCATCTTAAATAATGTAAATTGTATGTACTTACAAATGAAATGAGAGATCGGGATGTAAATATTTCGTTTATTTTATTTCACTTTTCACAAATATCACTCAAAATATAGCCAAAATATAGAAAAACAACTTTTCCTCATCTACTGTAAAAAGTAAACAAACATGATCGAAGGACGCAGAGGAATTGGTAGAAAGCAGGCCTCTTGGTTAAAGAATATCAGAGAGTGGACAGGAATAAAGAAAGCTGAGCAACTCTTTAGAATAGCTCGAGACAAAGACAGTTTCGCCATGTTAATCGCCAACGTCACGTGACAGGGCACGTTAAGAAGAAGAAACAAACATGGAACAGCATTTGAAGTTTGACATAGATCCATAAGACAATAGTTTTCAGTGCTTCTACATATAAAATAATTGATTGATATCTATTATACGCTATTAATAAATGATAATGCACTTTATGTGCACACTTTATATTTTGATTAATTAAATATATTAATCTAACCAATAAATTATTATTTTGGTTTGATAGCACCTGTAGAGTATAAAATACGGATTAATATTTTCAGCGACTCGCGAATAAGAAATTTTAAAACAAAACGTGACAACAGTTGAAGGTGCTGAGAATGTGACCTATTCAAATAATTTTGACTACACAATTTTATGTAAATAACTGAGTCCATCTGTGTTTATACGTCCATGGTTTCAATAGATGCAAGCCTTATCCAAAACATCCTCTTTTGAACTATTCGAATCTTCTTTAACTCCTTTTCTTTTTATATTTCAGCTTTATAGGGTAAAGAAGTCAACACTGCTACTTTACCTCTCTTGCTCTTATTACTTGCTGGGTTTTTTGTCGCTTTTTAAATCTTAAATATTTCTTTGGGGAAGATTTCTTTGGGGAAGAATTACTACCAAGATGTTGAAGGAATAAACACTTGTCATGGTCATGTGTGTTGACTCTGAAGATCGTGGTTCGTTTAAATTATTTTCAGTAGAAGATTTTTTGCAGTTTAAAACTGTAGAAGTGTGGTCGACTTTGATGTTCTACTTGATATATGCCTTTTGGGTTCATCTGATATATATCCTGGATTTTCTTGTCAATTATTTGCCTTTATGTGATTTTAGATGGATCAAACTTATTTTGTACCTTGAGAACGATTTCCGAAGTGGAAATTGAAACGTCAATAAACTAATTTTAACCTTCAGTTGTGGCTTATTCCCAATAAAATAGTATCTACCAAGCAAAAAATAACAAAACTTGTCATTTTTTTCCAAGAAAGTAATGTCAAAATGACGAAATTACGTGCCACCTAAACGAGTATATTTTTCAAACAAAAATATTGATTTTTGCAAATATATTAAACTAAGCAGCAATATTCTCACAAAGTTCTTTCCTCCAATTTTAATACATTTTTAATAATAATTGCATTTCTGTTATAGGTTCTGTGGGATGCTTTGGAAGAAGTAGAACTAAAACACGCTGTTGATGAATTACCTGCAGGTCTGGACAGCAAAATGGCCGAAGGTGGTTCAAACTTCAGTGTCGGTCAAAGGCAGCTGGTCTGCTTAGCTAGAGCGATAATCAGAAGAAACAAGATTCTAGTGCTCGATGAAGCAACTGCTAACGTAGACCCAATGACTGATTCCATTATTCAAACTACTATAAGACTGAAATTTTCTGAATGTACTGTGTTAACGATAGCCCACAGATTGCACACAATTATGGATTCGGATAAAGTCTTAGTTATGGACGCTGGAGAAGCCGTTGAATTCGATCATCCACATAAGTTGCTTAAAAAGAAAGGAGTATTCTATGGATTAGTTCGACAAACTGGAACCACTATGGCAGAGAACTTACAAGCGATAGCAGAAGAAAGTTTTTATAAACAAACTAAAGATAGTTAGTATTTCAAGATGTTCCTGTGATTATTAGCTAATTTAAAAACTTTTATAAGAACATAACAACAGTTGTTTTCTGACGAATAAACACTTATTGATAGTAAGTTTGTTTCGTCGGTTTTGGCAGCATTTAAAATTGTACTTAACGTTTTTACTTAATTTGTACAAAGTGCTGTAATGAGACAATAAATTGTATAAAATATTAAATATATATATATATATTTTATCTTGCCTTTATTACTATAGTCTGTCCCTCCTTGACTTTACAGTACACAAACATATGGCAATGCAATCCTTATGGGAGTTTTTAGCGCGGCGATGCCGATTTTCTTCAAAAGAATTTTCAATCGAACATTACCAGGGTCCTAAAAAGGTATGGCCCTAAAAATGTTAAAATAAACCTATTGCAGTTAATAGCATTGTAGTAAAACAATATTTTTCATTGTTTTTGTGGGTGATAGTCATTTTTGAAAAGTGATCAGCAAGTTAGAAGTTGTTCTATGGTTGTTAATTTAAGTATTGACAGTACGGCCAGTTCTGCAGTAACGTCAAGTCAGATTGTCAGTCAAGTTTAAGTAAAGTTTTATATTGTCCTACAGTTGAGAATAAATAAATTATAATTGCTGATGGTCAGTTCACATAAATTAAATTATAACAAAGAATATCAAATAAGCTTATAATTATTACTGATAACATTGTTTTGAGTAACTCATTGCTTATTTGGGAAATTTGGATCCTAATTGCAGATTTTTGTAATTCTTCGCAACAACAGAAGATGCCTAGAGAGTGGAATAGAAGCATTATAATTCCATTACAATTATATAAGAAAGGAAAGAAAGAACAATTACAAAACTATAGAGGCATATCGCTTATTAGCACATTATATAAAGTGCGATCAATTATCTTGCTAAAGAGACTTAAACCATATCGTCGTTCAGATGTCAAAATCTTGTATCTCAAAATTAGTGTATTTTGGGAAATCACCTAAAACTTCCCATAGTAGAAAATATAACTTTTAAAGTTATTTTTTTTTTCTGAAATGTAGGTAGTTCCACTAAATGAATTATTTGTGATAGTGATTAAACTCGAAAAAAATAGACTTGGATTTTTTTGGAAAAAAATCGTGAGATACGAGTTTTTGAAATTTAAATAGTATTTAATTTCAGGTCTTACGAGGTTTTGGTAGCATATTTTCAGCCCTCTTACTCCTTTTTACACGCAAAGAACAATATTACAGAAGAAAAATAAAATGTTTATTCTTAAATAAGAAATAAAACAAACATGTTACATAAGTACTCTGATATAAAATAAAATAACACAACTATTTTTGATATTTTGAAAACAAAAAATTAGTGCTTCAACGAGTCATAAAAACCACGATAATCCGGGTGAATAACAATCTTAAGAGACTGCAGGTGATTAAATGTGTCTTCTGTAATGGGCAAATGGTCATTATACATTTTTCTTACGATACCTGCATTATTCGTATTTTTTCGAACTGGTAAAAACTGCCACTCCTCCTCAAAGTTTAGTTTGAATTGGACAGGCAAATCTCTGGAATACCTGATCAGATTACCCTCAGATTATTCACACTGATTATCCTCAGATTATTCACGCATGCATCTCCCACTTTTTTCCTGGACGAATGGATGAATAATACTTAATTTCGGAATAGTCATTAAAAAATTGGTGATCAATAATACTTAATTTCGGAATAGTCATTAAAAAATTGGTGAACAATGTATTTAACTTTGTATGGATTTTGGAAATTTTTACGGGCCTCTTTAATTATTTCCACATAATTGGATGGTGAGTAAATGCATTTATTTTTTTTCTGTCAATGGTGGAGTGCACACTATCGCACTCCATTTGCGAGTGACCTTTAACTAAATATTTCTGTATAATTTTGTGCAGAACATCCATCGCTATAAAAAAATTTTGGTTTGTCCTTTTCGTGGGCATCTAACTCTTCATTTAAAAAATCAATTATACAAGATGTAAAGGAGTTGGCATCCGTTTTGCCCTCTCCCTCATGCCATACATAACAAACTACCTTATTATTTGTTAAATTATAGATGGTGAAGTTATGGCATGCTAGTTTCTGTTTAAAGTATACCATGCCTGCTGGGACGACAGGGAAAAGTTGGACCGCTTGTACATCCATCGTAAATACGCACACTTTTCCTTCCAACGCATCTTCTTTATCCTTGATTTTTTCCTTTCTAGCGCGATCTTTTTGGCTAATATGCGATTCATAATCTTCTTGCTCTATATTGCCCAGTTTATGCGAAAAACATAAATCACACTGGTCCTTCCTTGGATGATATACATCAATGTTTGTGTTTTTCATTTCTTTTAAGAAAACATCATATCCTACAGCAGATTGTGGTTCATAATTTTTGTATACGTCATATACTTCCTTATATGATTGAAAAGTTGTTTCCAAATAAAGTTTACTCGTTGATGAACGGCAATAATGGGAGGGCATCTTTGGCAGTTTTTCAAGGAATGCTTTAACTTTATTTCTGCGTTCAATATTGACAGGTTTAATCTTGGAAGGAAAAGTAGTAATAGTTACTTTTGGGATACCCGCGTCACAACTAGTTTTCACCCAGTTTTGAACACTCCATTCACCCAATCCTAATGTGGAGAGAAACATTTTCTTGCAAACTGGAATTACGGTATTATCTATTTTCAAATGATAAAATAAACTTAAATTACTCCTTGATTTATTGTGTGTTCTTTTTTACACTGTTGGCTGTTTATTAACTAGCGTACACACAAATATCTTTCGTTGATGCCAATCTATCTCAGACCAAAACCCATCAAAAATTTTCCTTCGTTGATCATCAGTTATCATTGAACATTTCCTTTTTTCTTTTGCTGCTAAGCACTTTGCTGGAATACATCTTGGTTTCATTTCCCGGGAGTTTCTCTTAATGGTAACTATAGATCCATCTTTCTCCTTCTTTTTTGCTCTATATTCTTTACCACGCATTCTTAAACATTTTTGTTCATTTCTTTCCCAAGTAGAAGAATCTGCTTTGCCTTTTTTGCTGCGCCTTCTCGTCTCATTTTTTTCTTCTCTATTTCGATGATAACTTGACTCTGATCCTTCGAAAGGTTCTTCAAATTCAATATCGGTGTTATAGTGTCGATTTTCTGCAGCTTCACTGATATTTTCTATATTCAAAGTTAGATCCCTACTTACATTCTCCATCTGAGTACTGTCCTTGACATCAACATTCATACTATCTTCTATATGAATACTAGCCAAACATCTGCTTTGGTTGTCATTTTTTAAATGAGATTCTGTTTGAATAGCAGTACTCTTTGGGTTAAAAATAGTACAGGAATGTACTTGAATGTTTTGTGAACTGATGAAAAAGCAGTATGCTGGAAACTCAAGGATTCTTCTCGAAAGGTCTCATAAACTTGTTCAAAGCCTGTATTTGCTTTTTTCCAATCTTCTACATGACAGCTCTTAAGTTCTGCGACTTTTATCTCTTCTTCTGCGATCTCTTTAGAATGTAAATTTTGATTGGTAGTACTTTCATTCTGCTCAATATCAGAATCCGCTTTTAGACTTTCTAGTGCTGATTTGACCATTCTTAAAGCCCGGCTTGCCTAAAAATAAAACAAAAAATACTTATTTTGTTTCCAAAGAAACCTCGTAAATCAATATTGTAAATATTTGATTATATTTTGGTAGGTAACGAAACCTCGTATCACAATATTTTTCACTTAAAAATTTACTGTAATACATTATTTTGGAAATTCTTGTACCAACTGACAAGTTTTTGCTTTTCCTTAATGGATTTATGTAATTTGTTTCAGTTGATCACTTGAAATATAATAATTGAGTCATCATAACCTCAAATTTTTTGGAACAATAATAGTTATATTTCTGTTTAACGTAAATCAATGCGTCTAAAAACAAAGTATTAAAATGTTTTCACTTACCATAGCTTCTAATAAACAGTTATAATTCTTTTAAACCTATATAACTGCACAAAACTGTTCAGTATTTAACAATTTTTCAGACACGTGTTGACTTACGTGGTTTCGTGCGCAACCTGTGAGATACAAGGTTTCTAAATTCGAGTGACGGAGGTGCAATTTTACATGCTTTGTAATAAGAGGTTTCTCAATCGATGCGGCTCGATTTCCTAATATGGGCCACACAAAAAACGAAAAACCATCGAAAATTGAGATACGGGGTTTTGACATCTTAGCGACGATATTCGGATGATATTCTAGGCTAGTACGAATGCAGATTTCGTGCTGGAAGGTCAACTATAGATCAGATATTTACCATCCGACAAATATTAGAGGAAAACTGGGAATTCAACCGCGATGTGCACCAAATTTTCATAGATTTCCAGCAAGCATATGATTCCATAAGAAGAAGCAAATTATGGATAACACTGTTAGAAATGGGAATATTAAGAAAATTAGTTTATTTAACGCAAATATGTGTGACAGACTCGATGTCATTTGGTATAAATTCAGGACTTAAAGGAATCAGGATTTGCTGATCAAGGATCAAAACTGTTGCTGAGAGAAACAAGAGACGTAAGACTTGTTTTCACAGCTCGAGTAGGAAACAGGTAGTGTGGATCTCCAAATAAATGAAGAAAGGACGAAATACGAAAGTAACCACAAATCCAAGACCAAGAGTTAGGGAGAACATCAGTATTAATGATCACAACTTCAAAGTAGTAAAGAAGTTTAAATACCTGGGGGCGATAATCACAGCTGACAACCTCAAAGAAAAAGAGGTCTCAGCAAGGATAGCTGCGGGAAATGAAACATTATACTCTCTTTCAACAATATTAAGATAAAAAGAAAATTTATTTACTTAAAGAAAATATTTGCACAATTATTACATCATATGGCAGTGAAACATGGACTCTCAACTAGCAAGAAATCAATAAGCTTCTTTGGAGAAGATGCCGCAAAGAAATCTTACGATGAAGAAACAAGAGTAGCATTCGTCGAATAGTGCATGATTTTTTTCGTAAGAATACACCCCAACGTTACATTCTCTATAATTAGTAGTAAATAAAGACGAACATCTACCTAATTTTTTTATAATTACACTGCATAGACTAATTAAGGACATAGGATTTGTGTACACAAAACGGGACAGAATGTCATTGTTGATAGAAAAACGCGAAATTATTTCTTGGCACCATCAATATTTGCGAGAAATTCGTACAATTC